TAATCTCACTTCTTTTAAATATCCTAACCGCTGTTATCTCTGGAAATAATTCTAACTCCCCATTACAAATACCGTCCGACGCTGCCAACCATCTCATTTCCTTCTTAGTTAAATCTAAAAATGCCTCAACTAGTTTTTCTTCATTGGAACGCTAGGAGTATCTGGTTTAAAAAACAAGACCTACAACACTTAATTAATAAATTCAAACCTATAGCATTCTCTATAGCTGAGACTTGGCTTTCTCCAAATCTCAGCTTTTGTATGCCCTATTATAATATTTTTAGAAATGATAGACCTAACGGAGTGGGAGGGGGATGTGCCCTCCTTATTAACAACAAGGTACCACTGAAACCCCTGACTATGCCTATTGACTCATTACAATTAAATATTGCTGCAGCAAAAATAGAGGGCATCACAGTCCTCTCAATATATATATCGCAACCCCACCTTAATTATCTCCAAATATTAAAAGATATTCTTGGTGCTATAAGTGGGCCTCTGATAGTGATGGGAGATTTCAATTGTCACCACTTCAGGTGGGGATCTGAACGATGTGATTCTTTTGGTGAAGGCCTAGTGGAACTACTGGATGACCTAAATCTGTGCTTATTAAACGATGGGAGTGCTACTAGGAGATCTCTGCCCGGCCAACGTAAAAGCTGTGTGGACCTTACCTTCTGCTCAGTGAGTCTAGCCTCAGCTTCGCAATGGCACTGCACAGATCTGACATACGGAAGTGATCACTATGCAATAGTTACCACCATAACAGAAAGAACATATCTCGAAAAATCTTCCCCTCCTCTTCTAAGATATAATCTGTCTACCCCTGATTGGTCATAGTTTTCTTCAGTATTGGAGAATAAAATCCACACATTACCAGCCGTCGTTTCTATTAATACTGTTTCCGATCCTCAGCTTCTTAAGACATGTGTTGATTCATTTATGACTGCCATCACTGAGAGTGCAGATGTTTCCTTTCCAATTAAGAATTGCGCCCAGAACAAAATCCCCTCTCCACCTTGGTGGGATCGGGAATGCACCATGGCCATCAGAGAAAGAAACAACGCCGAAAAAAATTACAACAGGGAAATGACCACCTCCAATCTAATTGCTTATCAACAAACCCTTGCCAAGTCTAAAAAGATCCTACGTAAGAAAAAACGTGCAGGCTGGGTTAAATTCTGCTCTTCCTTGTCGTCCTCAACACCACTCACAACGGTTTGGAAAAGTATTAATAGATTCCGTCGTGGTTGTTCCCCACCCATATCGGCTCCCATAACCCGTGAGACTGCTGAAGCATTCTTTGATAAAATAGCCCCTGCGTACGCACCCACCTACTTGGAATCTTTTAATCCTCCAATAGATATCCCCGCTGAGGATCCTATGGATGCTCCATTCTCCCTGGACGAACTGAAATATGTCCTTAAACAGGTCCATGACTCTTCCCCTGGAATAGATGGGATACCCTATTCCTTTATTGTCAATGCTGGCACCAATGCTAGGAAATATATCCTCCAAATTTATAATTCTTGCTATACAAGAGGTTGGGTTCCAGCCCAATGGTCCACACACCTTATAATCCCCATCCTAAAGCCAGGAAAGCACTCTGATGACCCTAACGGTCTCAGACCAATCGCTTTAGCTTCTACCCTAGCCAAAATATTTGAGCATTTAAACAGATTAGAATGGATAGTAGAATCCAGAGATCTACTCCCCTCATCACAGTTTGGTTTTAGGAAGAGTCTTGGTACCATGGACAGTGTAGGGACCCTTATTGCTGATATTCACATAGCCCTATCTAAAAAGGAATCTGTCGCTGCAGCCTTCCTAGATATTTCCTCGGCATATGATAGTGTTCTTCTTCCCCTTCTCAGGCAGAAACTGCAACAGCTGAGACTTCCGGCGAGGATGATACAGTGCATATACAGCCTACTGATGGATCGTACATTGATTTTGAGAGTCCAGGGTGAAGATTTCCCTCATAGGAAGACATGGAAGGGCCTTGCTCAAGGCTCTGTCTTAAGTCCTCTGCTGTACAATCTCTATACGGCTAACATAGGTACATGCTTAAACAATGACTGCCATATCTTGCAATACGCTGACGACCTTGCGCTTTACGTTGTCGAGAAAACTATAGAGAATGCAGCTTCCTCCCTTTCTATTTCCCTGGGATCTTTGAACCAATGGCTGACAAAACACGGGCTATCTTTGTCAGCAACAAAAAGCAACATAGTGATTTTCTCGCGTAAAAAAAGCTACCCTCAGATTTCCCTCAACATAGAAAACCAAGCCATTCCAATAAGTCCCAAAGCGAAATTCCTGGGCGTTTATCTGGATCAGAAATTATCTGGTACTTATCACATCAACTTCCAGGTAGAAAGATGTGAAAGAATTGTCCCAATTTTTAAAGCCTTAACTGGCGTTTGGTGGGGTGCACATCCATTTACAATGAAACTGATGTACAATGCATTAACCCGTAGCATTATCGATTATGGCACATTTCTTCTGATACCGTGTAACAAGGGAGCTCTGTCCAGACTGGATAGAACCCAAGCTAGGTTCTTGCGAATTATCATGGGCTGCATGAAGTCTTCCCCTGTTAACGCTCTGCAGGTGGAAAGTGCAGATCCACCACTTGCTCTAAGAAGACAATATTTGGCTTCCAGATTCCTCTCTCGCGTATTTCTCAAATCCTCCCATCCTCTCTTAAGGAAATTACCCGAACTGGATCACCTCTGCACTGTCTCAAACTTCTGGAAAAATAGGGAAATCCCTCTAATCATTAAAGCGTACCGTATGTTCAACAATCTAGAAGCTCCCATCGTTGATTGTGAAAGACTCCCTATGTTTAATATAAGCTATGAAGTCCTATGTTTCAAACCATTAATCGCATACGACATTGGTATCTCGAAAAATTCACCTCACGCAGAACTTATTTTTACGACCAAGATAAACGAACGGTGGGCAGGGTTTCAAAGGTTCTTCACAGATGCATCAAAACTTTCGGATACAGGTTATACTGGGGCAGCTGTCTACTACCAAGATTCGCAAATCATTTTAAAACTTAAATGCCCAATAGAATCCTCTGTGTTTACGGGCGAGTGCGTAGCGATATTAGAGGCTTGCCAGTTCATAGATACGCACAACATAGAAAAGGCAGTAATTTTTACCGACTCGCTGAGCAGCTTGCAAGCTCTAGAACAACATCCATTACAAAGCAAGTTAAATAGCTCTATAATCTTAAGCATCAAACAATCCCTCTTTAAATCTGCCAATAAAGGTAAAATCATACAGCTCGTTTGGATCCCAAGCCATACAGGTATAAAAGGCAACGATTGTGCTGATACTTCTGCCAAAAGTGCGGTTTCATCGGAAGTCGCAGACAGGAAATATTTTTGCCTCCAAACTTACGACCTCTTAAACCTGCCTAAAAAGGAATTACTGACTTCTTGGCAGTCGTATTGGCATAACTCGGGGAAAAAGAAAGGCAAATTCTATTACGCTATCCAACCGATCGTAAATATTAGACCCTGGTTCTTCAAATATAAGAAATCGTCCAAAACTGCCGTATCAGTCCTATGCCGTATACGCATAGGACATTGTTGTTCGCCCATTTTCCTACATAAAATTCGTGTTCGGGACTCTTCTCTTTGCGAATGTGGCTTAGACGAAGGCTCCCTGGAACACATTTTCTTCAGTTGTTCCAAAAATCTTCCTTCTCTTGACTTATACCACCGTCTCGCAGAGTTAAAAATCCCGCTCCCGATCAACATGGCTTCCCTTCTCACCTATTTTACTCCTAAACTTACCAGGACATTGATGACTTTTATCCATTGTAACTCCATAAAACTATGACAAATTTAATTAATCATATACATGTATACTGTAGTATAATGCAATTAAATGTTCTAACGCTTAATATATATAAGAGCTTATCTTACAGATTAGTTTTGTCTTTGTTTCAGCATACTAACCTATTGTCCAAGAAAGATAAACACATCCAGTTTCAATGTCATCGCTGGATAAACTATAGATTTCTATTACAGGTTTCTGAACAAATTGACCAAACACACGTTTGGCCATCACTTCTGATATTGGCAGAATTGTCGACATTGGCATCGACACAATTGCCATTAAAAAGAATAGAATAGAAGTAGTAGTAATAGTAGTAAATTTTGTGTTACAGTCATGCGCGCGCATCTTAAAATTTCACTCTCATCATTTTTTCATAACGCGCCTAAAGAAGTATAACTTCAAAAAACATGATAAATACCACGAAAAATATAGTAATTATTATTATTGTATTGTACGAGAATGTAAAAACACATCCTTTAAGACTCAAGGAAAGATGTGGTATAAAGTGCCGAAAGAAATTAACCTACGCAACCTGGTTAGAACTTGCTAAAAGGGATTCTGCAACTTTATCAACTCATAGTAAAATTATTTTTGCGAAGATCACTTTGATGTAAGTATTCATTGAATAATATTTTAAGTCTCTTCGTTTATTATCAGTTTTAATAATACAAGTTTTAAGGTTATGTATTTACTATATCAATGAGCAAAATAAATATTAAAATTCTTAGGTTACATAATTTCAGTTGGAAAACGATATGGAAAATTATATGCAGTACAAATTAACAGTTACACGCGAATGACATTTAGTTGTTTACCACCAAAGAGACGTCACAATCATGGCGGACGTGGTGAACAGCGTTTTTAGTGTTTAAAAAGTATAGACTAAAAATTATTTTTTAAAATTAAATTTCTACAGCAATCTTCTGCTTTTATGAAATGAAATCGATATATTTAGGTTCCTTAGACCAAATACTTTAAGAAATAAGCATTTATTTAATACAATTCGACATGAGTCAACTAGCCTATTGACACCAGTATTACGTTATATTATAATTAATCATTATTTAAAGAGAAATCCTTCATCCATGGCAATAGCGGTACATTCATCTTCTTTCTGTACGTCTATGGCAAAGAGTAGTATTTATATGTCTATGGCTAGCGGCAGGGTACAGCTGTCTGACAGTGACAATGACATCCATGCAGTCAGGTGTGGTGTGCCGTGTGCGGAGTGTTTGAGAGTGTCGGGTGCCGATGCCGAATTGGGATTTTGTTCGATTGAATAGTGTTCCTTATAGTGGATTGATTCTCAACAAGTAAATTAAGGAATTGTCGAATCAAGGAAATAATGGAGTTAGCATTTATGCAATTCAAATCCATTATTGATAGAATTTGAACATAACATTCTGTTACTTACATCTCCAAATTTAATATGAAAGAAAAATGGAATTACATTTTGTACCTCATTTGGTTTGCATATCTTATAGTATCTGCGGGATTAATGTTCGCACATGGTTTCCTTTTATCACGTAAATCATTAAATGATGTGACTGAATGTGTGCCAATTAGCGACTTCGGGTGTGATGGGTGGGAAAAGGGGAACTCTACAGTTGCCTGCACTGACGAGGAAAAGATACGACGTATATTGTCGAATCCAGGGTCTAACATTGCTTGTGCCCCTGTGCGTTCTCGTGTGGTGTTCATATTAGTAGATGCTTTGCGATATGACTTTGCTGAGTATGATCCTGGTATAAAGACGCCATTGCCGTACCAGAACCGTCTTCCAGTAATTAAGGAGATACTCGACAAGTGGCCAGAGCGCGGTCGTCTCTACCGCTTTATGGCTGATCCACCGACAACAACATTCCAGCGTATCAAAGCACTTGTAACTGGGTCTTTGCCAACTTTTGTCGATGCTAGCTCAAATTTTGCAGCTATAGAATTGCATGAAGACAACATTATTGATCAGGTGAGCTTCAACTATGGTTTTCAATATTATAAAGAGGTTTGGCAGGAGGGATCTCAATAAATTTGTTTGCTTTCATAGTACCATTATTTTGAATAAGATTTTTCTATTGTTAGGTTACAAAAGGTGGAGGCAAAGCAGTATTGTTAGGTGATGATACTTGGTCTCGATTGATACCAGGGAAGTGGTTAAGATCACATGCTCTATATTCATTTCACACATGGGACTTAGATACAGTGGATACAGGTACTCTTCTGTTTTTAACCAATGGGTTTTTTATATTCTTATTTTAGTCTTGAGATAATAATATTACTTTTTGAAAACAAATGAGATTACATACAACACAACAATATTAATAATTTAAGTTATACCATTATTTGTCAGGCCTGATGTTATTGGGTCTGATTTAAAATTCTTAATCAACTTTCATATTCACATCTAGTTTTTTTATAAGATCAATTCTTAAAAATTCCATCAAGTATGATTTATCTATTATATTAATATAAAATATAGATTAACTGATTGTAGTTGTATTTATTTGCAGAGGTTGATTCAAAAATATATGATGAGTTGAAGAAGAATGATTGGGATATACTTGTGGCTCACTATTTGGGAGTAGATCACGCTGGGCACAGATACGGACCTAACCACCAGGAAATGACAAGAAAATTACAGGAGACTAATGTTCGCATAAAGAAAATTGTTGAAACACTTCCATCTGATGTCCTGCTCTATATTGTTGGAGATCACGGCATGACTGAGACAGGTATTTCCTTAATTAATTTTAATGAGAATAAGCATAGTGGTACTTAAGCTTGAGAGTTTTGTTAAAATCTAGAAAAATATGTTGATTAAATAATACAGTTATTTTATTTAATACAGTTATTCAAAGGTGTTTATTTTAAGTAACCTACTGTGCTCAATCTTCTAAAGCTATACTGTAAAAATATTTGTAAACAAGAGTCCATAATATGAGTATAGTTAAAAATATAATAATTTTATAAATAAAAGCTACAGAATAAATAGAGCAACTGATTGCTTCAAGTACCTAGTCAAAATAGAAACTTAATATAGTCTGATAAGTTTCATGAAATTTACTAATCTATTGTAAATAGTTATTTTCATATTGTTTTAGACTCACAAGAAGGAAAAATCTTGGATGGTGGGTACTTAGTGCTTAATGTAGCAGTTATGAACATAAATTGTGTTTTTACTGATGTCTGTTTTCTTCTTAAGCTAAATATTTTTGCTGTGATGTGTGTGATTCTAAAGCATATTTGTCTTTAAGTAGATGCTTACTTAATTGACTGTTTTTTTAATTTTTTCTGTATATGGATGGAAACTTTACTTGTTTTGAAACTAAAGAAATAACTGTTAATTTTTTTATTACTTTGAAGATGTTGATGTTTTAGAATTATTGCTGAGTATCTGCAAAAATGCATGGGGCCTATGTAAATTACAACTGTTTTGTTACAATTTGCCTTTGTTTTCATTATTAGGTGATCACGGTGGTGAAAGCAAAGCTGAGCGAACTGCGGCGTTGTTTGCTTATCGCCGTGAGGGGCTTGGTGGAGATGGTAGCCAGTTGAGTGTCGGTACAGAAGTGCAGCAAACAGACTTAGCACCTACATTGAGTGCGGCTTTAGGACGTCCTCCTCCCGCGCCTTCTCTTGGATCTGTCTGGCTTCCCGTACTCCCCAAAATGACGCTTCTTAACACTCTGCTACATATAAGCAATAACCTGAAGCAGGTATACAATATTGTTATGATATTTTTTTACCATTACCATACCTACACTGGTTGTATTTATACTGTATAACACAGCATTCAAAATGCGAGAGGATGTTGTTATTATATTAGTATTTATTATACTATTATTATATATTGGTAACAACATGATTTGATGTAATGTTGCTACTTCTGTTAAATGTTCATGAGTTTCTTGCGCCCATTCTTGTCACAGCTAAAAGATGTCCTGAATGGGTGGTAGGAAAATGTATTGAGCTATTCAAAAGAGTTTTTCATATGCCAATTTGAAAAGAGTATAATTTCAATCCATTCATTCATTATATTATAGGCTTACTCCAAATTAATATGTATATTTACAGATCAGGCAATATCTTATACGCTATGGAGAGGAATCTCAGCAGATTGCTCTTGATAAACTAGCTCATCTTATAAATTCTACTAGGGAACAATTAGACAAGGCGGCGTATGTAGAAACAGAACAAGATTTGAGTATATTCATGAATGATGTCAGGTAAATCAAATAGTACACGAAGCATTGCTCTTTAAACCTTAGTTTGTGGCTAATAAGACCTATTTTTGTTTCAGAGGACTGATTGAAAACATCCGCACTGTATTCCGAGAAGTTTGGGTGGAATTTGACTCATTATCTATGTTAAGAGCACTATTGCTACTTCTCTTAGCTATATTCTTTAATTGGTTGATTACTGAAGGTTTGCCTATGGAGCAAATTCCTTTAATATTTGCTAGTTCCTTTGTTTCAAGTGGTTGGTATGCTATGGCAGTGTGCATAGGAATATGTTATAGTGCATTCCATTTCGAACTAATAGAAGATCTAGAACATGCCATATATTTAAGTACTGGTTTGATATCAGGAGCTATAATGTGCACTCTAGTCATTATGCATTGGGATGGAATCTCGCAAAGATGGTATGAAGGGCGCTCAACATTTTACGAACGGTTTTCTAGAGGAGCTCTTACGGCTTCAGCAGCAGTTTTAGTATCAAATAGTTACATCATTGAGGAGGGAGCTGAGTTATCCTTTTTGGTTTTGAGCGCTTTAGGTTTGATGGCTTGGTATATAGGGACGATCAAAGCTTTGGCCGTATGGGTATGCTGTGGTGTAGTACTAGCGGTCACGAGATCTTACAGGGGATGCAGGGAAGAACAGGGGGATTGCTGGACAGACGGGGAAAGTATACCAACAGGACAAGCGACCAGGGCTGCGTTAGTGTTAGCTTTAGGATCTGTAGCTGCTGTGGTAGCTGTAGCGCGACGCCACATTGGATGGCGTGGATATGGTGTAGTACTGGCTGGGTTATTCGCTTGCGCCCATTGGGCAGTTGGCTGGGGTACACTGGGCTCGCCTAGTAGGTCGCGATTGCTAGCGCGCGGGTCTTGGTTAATTTTAATCGCTATGTTTGCAATGCTCTGGAGGAAGGAAGGCAAAGGAGCCTTATTGCCATTGACGGTGTGCAGTTTGCTTTTGTATATTGGCAACACATTGGTGTTAGGAGTTAGTTTCGCCCCGACTGCTGCGCTGGCGCTTGTGTCTGGATTCTTGGTTTTGAACATAGTTTCGATGTTGAAAAGCGGCGGGAATTCGAAGTTTTGTGAGTATACTTGTTTGAAATATTGCTAGTTACATAAATGTCAATTACTATTTTTAAACAGTAGATGTAAATTTTATAATTTTAAATTTCTTTAAAATTAGATAAATTCACAAAATTCACTGCTACGTATTTTAAGTTATAAACCGTTTTTATGGGCTCAGCAAATCTACCATTCTTTGCAGCATTGTCAACAAGATGCGGCTCTAGTGTGGCATGTGTTTGGGCATTACTTGCCTCTTATTACTTCTATGGGACCGGTCACCACGCGACCTTGGGCCATGTGAGATGGGCGCCAGCGTTCCACGCGGGGGATCCGAACTATCTCGCTATAGGAACACCCGTTACGGCCGCATTGGTGGCGCTTGATCTTTTCGGTAAGTAATTCGTAACCAATATTATAAACGTGAAAGTTTGTACGTAAAGGTTGTTTGTTACTCAATCTCCCAAACGGGTTGCTGATATGGTATCTTATAGTAGACAAGCTGTGCCCCGCGGTGTTACCCTTGGTTTATTAGGGTTATTTTCCCGCAGTAAAACGTAGCCTATGTGTTCATCCAGGGTGTCAGGTAACTCTATACCATTTTTTTTAAAATCGCTCCAGCCGTTTAGACGTGAAGAAGTAACAAACATACACACATACAACCTTTCGCCTTTATAATATTAGTGTAATTATATACTTATCTGTAGATGTACCTAAGTGCCGATGAAATATGGTAAAATTAGCATAAATCAATATTGAGTTTAAAGTCATTAATAAACTAGTGAATTTTTCTAAAAGTAGCTGTTTTTTAAAGTTACGACTGTCAACGCATTCTCCCTAGCTTTGTCTCATCTCATCATAGATTTATGATTTCTGGCACATGTAGTTCTGTTCTTATATTATGTAACCAAAACAATTTCACTCTAATTACTTTACATAATAGCAATGTGTGATATTTGCCAAACACTTTTTTGTACGCCGAAATTCCTTTTTAGGTATACCTCTAATGTTTGGCGCAGCGGTGCCTCTCCTAGCTCTGTGGGGCAGAAACGGAGCAAGCAACGTTGGTCCCAGAACCCAGTTGGCAGCTGTGTTCTTGTTGTGCCTGAAGTTTTCTATGTGCTTCGCAATAAGAGTAAGTTATTCAAAGAAATTATCTCCGAACCAGGCATCTAGTAGCGAGATTCATAAGTAGATACGATCATATAGTGACATTGTATGTTTTTATATACTTACTAGCCAGCGAACTTCGTATCGCAATAAAAATATGGGTGGTAGAAGGGTGAAAATTTAAGGTTGTATGTATTTTTGTATGATGTATCATAAAACAATTAAAAAAATTGACAAAAAGAAAAAAGTGGTGGACCACCCTCAGTGGCGGATTTACCAGTAGACTCAGTAGGCTGGAGCCTAGGGCGGCAGATTTAAGGGGGCGGCAAATTTGGCCCAAAATCTACACAGAAAAACGAGTGACAAAAATTTTAATATTTTAGTAATGCACAGTATACTCAACACTCTTATGTCCGTAATCCGTATTTAAAAGATTACTAAACGCACTGTAAAATATAGGTATGTACTTATGCGATCATGAATTTTTAAAATATTCCATTAGCGTTTCAATATTAATTATAATTTAAATTTAGTAATTTTTTAAACTAACGGGGAAAAGCCGACGTAATGTGGACGATAGAAAGAAAGAAAGAAAAACATTTATTGGTTGCACACAAATCATCAAATATTGGATAGAACACAAATCATAAAGTTGCAATTTCAGAATAAATATAATTGTGAACTAGCGTATTGAATTTCAAAGGTCAGTAAGGGAGGCCAAAATTTAATAGCCTATTAGCGGCAAATTTGTAAATCCGCCACTGACCACCCTTAACATTTAGGGGGGATGAAAAATACTGTATATGCATATAAAATTACACGAAAATCGGTCGAGCCGTTTCGGAGGAGTTCAATTACGCACACCGTGACACGAGAATTTTATATATTAGATTATTGAATGTTTTTTTTAACCAATTGTTCTTTGACATAATCAGCTTAAGACTGTTCTCACTACTATGGCACAGACCTTCCCCATGCAAGGAAAAGGTAGAACGGGCCATGACCTACCCCGCCTGTCTAGTGCCGATAGGTGGGTGTTAACGACTACATATTCAGCCGCAATTAAGGCTCAACGTGCCTTCCTAATCACTCGCAGCTTTAAATAATACATTTTTAATTTCGACGAAAGCCATACAGCAACACGGACGCGATCAGGAAGGGAGTACATGGGAGGCTTTTCCTTTTATATTCTATTGTCATCGTTTATGTCAAAAACTGCCAAAATGATTTGAATATCGCTGCTGGTAGTTCTTTCCAGGTCGCGCCCATAGAGGTATAAGAATAAAGTAGGGGAGATATAGACTCCACTACAAGTGGAAGTGTCCCTCTAAAAGAAGGAGAAAGAAGATGAGAGACCGCTAGCTTTCTCTCTCTAATCGCGCATGCGCATTGGCAACCGTAAGCATTTTACTATTTCGATGTGATGTTATTAGTTGCCATGCGTCACAAGAGAGAGAGATAGCTAGCGGTCTCTCATCTTCTTTCTCTTCCTACTAGACGAACACTTTTGGAGCCTCCTTCCCCACTCTATTCTTATACCTCTATGGTGTACCCATGTTGCTCTAAAGAAAAATAAAATATTCTTTATATTGACGTACAGGTATTCGCCAGCGCCTTATCATCCACCATCCACTGCCGGCACCTGATGATATGGGGCGTATTCGCTCCCAAGCTTATATTTGAGTATTTAACTTGCTGTGCCGCACTCTTAGGCACCGTGATAGGAGCAACGTTGACCACTTGGCACACTTCCGTCCAACAGCGTTCTAGTTGACCCAAGAGATCTATTTAAGTTAGCCAGTAAGGTTATTGAGGTCATAAAGTAACGCTACTTATTGTAAATTAGAAGAAAAAAATTGAACAAAATTTTATATGACTAGCTTTGGCAGTTCTATAATGTTTTTTAAAGGTAATTATGGTACTCTCGATTTAAAACTACTTAATTTGGGATCAAATTTGTGTAATCGGACAAAAAGTATATAAAATATGTAGTGTTATCATTGAATGCAATGTTGGATAAAAAAATCTAGGTTAGTTGTCAGTGATTTGAGTTAGAAAAGAACTATCTACATCAAGATAAACCTCCGTATCGCTGTTACTCAGAAATTAGTTTAATTATTGTCGCAGCTCTTAACTTTATCTATGATAATATATGAATAAGATTCATATTTAGTACTTTTGTGTTGTTATTGTGCTTATTTTATAATCTGACCGACGTTTTGTAGACTGCGTCATCAAAGGGCTTACCATATTGCTAATTGCTTGAATTAGGCAATTTTATTGAGAACTTAATTTTGTGAATGTGTTATTGTGACTGTTGAATGTTGCATTTAAAATATAATAGTATAATAATAATAATAAAATAGAATGTAGTTCTATTAATTATAATTTAAACATCATTCATCAAGTGCCTGTAATGGTTTTTGTGAAATTAACTTAGTTGAATTTGTCTAGTATGTCCAAGGCCGTCTCATCACAATATAAAACCCTCGAATTACTAATAAAGCTCTTACTTCTTATTGCATAGGCGTCGTTAAATCATGCATTATCTAATCACCGAAATAGTCATTGTGGTATTAATAATGAGAACTTTTTACATGTTTTACCGTAGCCTGGTCAATACAGCAAAAACAACATTATATAGGTTTTTTCTGTTTAAATATATTTTATTAAAAAATTAACTGGTTACTACGCATATTATAGTCTTTAGTTAAGTCTACTTTTAAAAGCAGTACCGCCTGCTAAATGTATGTAGATGCTGTATAATTCATAGATTAACTCTAGCAAGGAACAGATATAATAATCTAAATGAAGTTTTTGAACTTTACCAGTTTCCATAGTTAGTTTATAATAGGGATGACAAACTTCGTTTTCTTCATCTATCAGGTAGATTATCAAAAAGTATTGGACACGTATTTTATCATCTTTATTCACGTAATCAAAACATTACAGAGACATATTGAATTAAAATGTCGCGTGACGTAACGCGACGTAGTACATTTTTTACTTAGAAGTGACATCACCGGCCCACACGCCCAAACTATGTCACGCTTTATCTTTGATTGACAAAAGAAAACTGAGTGTCAATTTTTTTTGATAAAAAAGCTGAGGGAATAATTACATTTTCGTTTAATTTATGATCCCTATTAATATTTCTCGGTTTTCGCAACTAATTTCAAGCACATTCGGTTCTCACTTGGCATATTTCCGAAATCAGCTTTAAAAAGCCTAGATCAAATCTGAATATTGAGATAGTTAGAGATTTTCACTCTCGTTTTAAATATAATTTTTATTTGAATGGGAATGTTACGTGTGCATTAGAAATTACGGGTTAGTAATTATGATTACAGTTATTTAAGTTATTATAGCTTGAAATATGCTATGCTTAAGTTCATTAATTGCTTTCAGCACCCCAATTTATTGGCACTATTAAACATAATATTTAAAAAATAAGATCTTTTACAGCTGTATTCTGCCTCAAAAAGAAACAGAAAAAGTAAACTAGGGTTTACTATCTTTGTCGCGATCCTTTAGGGGAAGTCGGACAGAGTCCGTTTAAGAAGAGGGATTTTTTTGTATTTTATTGTCAATAGGGTAGTTAAAAAAACATCAAAATTGAAGATTTCATTCACATTAAGTATTTGCCTCGGTATTACATAAAAAATATTAAGGTTGTATTATTTAATTATGAGTTTTAGTGAGTAATGTCCAAAGCATTTTATAGTATTTAATAATTTTGCAATGACACTGCCAGTGTGGCTGTTGATTTTTAAATTGAAATTAATAATAATGTTGACAAATTTTTTATAATTCGTTACACGCTTTGCATTATATTTATAATATCTATTGAATAAATTCAATTAATGAATGAATTAAGTTTATTTTCATTCATTAATTTATTATAAATTTTAGTGTACAGTTCTAAGTTAATAATGAATGTACAAAATTGTAGTTAGACTAGAAAATTTACATCACTAAACATAAGCTTGATATTCAGTTTTTCTCATATTATTAAATTGAACACTATTGTATCATATTGTTTTACAACATACATATTTACCTTCATGCTATTATAATCCTTGCGGTGTTGGTACAGTTTATTCCCAGTCGGCCCCCGCGGGGATTGCCACCGGAGACAAATGGGAATAAAAAGTGAACGTTAATTACGGGAAAATACGATCAAAAGGTGTACTTTGACCCCCTTAATAATAAACAAGGAATAAGCTTAGACTAGTTACGCCGTGTTTTGTTCATGTCACTCAAATGCTATTTGACATTCAATAGACAGAGACAAAAACATAGAGTAATACAAGCGTAGTCTTCGTTTATTATTAAGAGGGTAAAAGTAAAAGTCGCCATGTTTGGCATCGGTTTGTCTAAGATTATGCTTGGAAACAATGGTAAATCACAATTGCAAAGTTAAATGTAGCCGCTAGGTAAACATTATACCTTTTCGGTTCAACAGGTTACACATACAGGCACATTTTTTAAATGGTTGGAATTGGGATAGTATCGCCAACGATATTAATTACCCTAGAAACACCACGTGCGCTCAAAATGTGACCCAATTATGAAGTGCTTCAACACCACTCAAGCACTTCTTGGTTCAGAGTCACGCGCGGACTGTAGAAAAGTCAAGATACCCCAGAGCTCCGTGAACACACTTTTTTCGACAGGTTTGTTAATTTAACGCAATTTCGTTCTATTCTATATGTGTGATATTCAAATGCTTGGTCGGTAATACAGCCGTATATTTTCCTCGCGGTCCGTACCTGCTGTATTCGTAACAGCGCATTCAGAATTGCGTCAGAGTCAAAGAAATAAGGTCTATTTCCGCATATAGCAATAAGTCGTAAAATTTTATGAACCTGCATTTCGAACTGTCATAAATCTTTGCCGCTTGCGTTTTAATTCTGACCTTATACAGCATGTAGGTATTAAAGGTGACTTTCAATATTCAAAAAATACCTTGTATTGTTTTTGACTACGCGATCATCTTACGGAGCTCCGTGGATCGTCCAATGTACCTTTTGGAAAGGTTTCGGCCACGATTTTGATCGTGTTGGTGTATCTAGGGTATTTAATATAGTTGAGTATCGCCTATTTTACTGACTTTCCTTATTTTGGTATTTCTTATAATGGTAAGAAGTTGAATAGTATTTTTATATACTTAATTTTAATGAATATCTTTTATGGTTTATTAAATGTAAAATTTTGGTCCTTGGTAGGTATGTATTCCAAATATCTGAAAATGTAGCAATGTACAAATACTAATTCACCTGTAAAAACTGTATCTTTATAGTTTTTAATATTTTATTGATACTCCAAATAAACTTTTTAGGAAAACTAAAGCAATTGTATGCAAAAAATTGTTGTATTACTTTACATTTTTATTTAAAATAAACTGTTTACATTGAATTATTTGGGTTTAATTAAAAGAAAAAAAACGGACATGTGCTAGTCACATGTGATAGAAGTGAATCCTACATCCTAATGTGAACACGTAAAAGCCCTTTATGACTAGATTCGTCTTAAATACAACACCTGTGTTAAAATTCAACTCTAGGTCAAAATTAAATATTTTTTACTTAAACTAGTAGCCCGCCCTCGCTTCGCTTCGGTGTAGAGCTGTAGTGTAGACTATAGTTATTGTTCTCAGACTTGTATTATATACACACAATGGTGCCAATTCTGGCGTGATTCTCTAAACTTAAATCTAAATTTAACATCAGTCTCTCCTTTTCATTCTGTATAGAGAATAACAAGGATACACTGTTGTCAAATTTAAGTTTAGGTTTAGAGAATCATGTCAGAATTGATACCAATGACTTTCTTCATTTAAATATAAACCTTGTGTGAAAATTTGTTTAACTGATAGAGAAAATTTTGCTGCGTAATTTTGGACCCGTTGTATAGAATGCACCATTGCTCTGCTGTTAAAAGTGTGTCCTCCTTACGATTGGTCCATGCCCAATTTATTAATCTAGTATAGTTATAATAGTATTATTAAATGTATCTATTGACGCAGTGGTTTGTACACACCCATCACTTTTATCACTCACAATTATTGCACTAATGGTCGCGTCGGATGTTTGTAATGTGATACGGATCATATGAATTAGTAGTACATTTTTATTTGACTCGACACGCGTGGCGTTGCGTCGCGTTTCATAAGTCTGATTCAGCCTTATTGTTTATTTTTTGGGGGTTGAACGTTCTATTAAAAAGTCCGCGACAGCATATATCCATTTTTTTAAGTTTGACTCATTATAACCTTTTTCCTCAAATTAACACAGGTGAAACCGCAAAGGATCTCTAGTTGTGACATAACTGTAATAGTTAAGTATACGGTATTCCGAATACTTTTGTAGGTATATTCCTCTATAAAACTACTTTATTTCATCACTTTGCTCTATTGTCTAAGACTTCCGCAGCGTACGCGTACTTATAAGGTTATTTTTTTCACATATTGGGTTACATTATGGAAGTTTTCATACGGAACCCTAACGTTTTTGAAAATACTCTATAGTCCATGTTTTACAGGGATAATGTAGGATTCTAAATGTGAAAGAATTTTTCAAATCACTCCAGTAGTTTCGGAGCCTATTCAATACAAACAACCAAATATTCTCTTTTTATCAGGGGAGTCTTAACCATATGCGGCGCCCGGGTGCGAAAGCCAACAATACGCCCTCTTTTTTAAAAAAAAATACAAAATTATTTTTCATTGTATAGACTGCTACAAAAATATAGAAGAAATAAATAAGCAAGCATACTTATGTATGTATATGTGTATATAAGTATTATAGTTTGACTGAGTTGACTAGAAAAACGTAAACAATCAATAAAACTGACTGTATGTACTTAAATCGTAAGTTTTAATTTTGTTTTTAAACATTGATTTAAAGTAATATTTGAGGAGCTGGCGAACAAAACGGTATAATTTACTTTTTTTACAGTCCGGAGGTTCCGGCCCCTTGAATTTGCATTTCAAATAATTTTCAATCAAAACCGCCTAAAACAGTGTTAAAATTACAAATTTATAAATTAAAAACCATGCCAAAAGCTCACTGGAGTTATGTCATTCAGTTTTATACAGCTCCTGTCAAATTGAATTTTATGTAATTATACCGTTTTGTTCGCCAGCTCCTCATTTATAAAATTGCAGTTGGGTAAGGGTAATAGGTAGGTAGGTACTATCTTCCACCAGATTCATTCAGATGTTGATCGCCCGGCCCGGTGGGCGCCCCCTAGGGTCCGCGGCGCCCGGGTGCGTCCGCACCCAGCGCTCCTATGGGAAAGACGCCCCTGCTCTTTACAATCATTAGTATAGATTGTTTCGAAAAAAAAAATAACCAAGCCTATGGATCAAACCACCGATCATTTGGTGTCGACCTCAAGTGTCATTTCTGGGTTGTAGTATTGAATTGTTTAGTAAAGTTCCCCAAGATCTGATTGAGCTTCCACTGACCAAATTTAAATCTCAGATCAAGAATACTCTTATGAATAAGGGCTATTATAAAGTTGATGATTATCTAAATGATCGAAATGCATGGACATAGTCTTTCTTGTATTTTGTTATTTGATGGGTATTAGTCATTTTTCATAACAGTAATATAGTACCTTTCTTATTCCGCTTCCTTTATACTAAATATAATATTAAATTTATTGTAACTATATATTTATATTCTAAATGATGTACTTAATGGAAAGTGAATTCAGACGTATCACTGAAGTCATTTTTAAACTTGACGACTGTATATAACAATACAGGGAGAAAAAAACAGCCCTTGCCGAGTTTCTTGCCGGTTCTTCTCAGTACAAGGTCTCCCGCCGTAGTTTTGCGAACCGATGGCGTAGCTTCTTGACATTCACAAGTGCTTGTAACAGCCTAGACTGAATAAATGACTTTTTATTTCATTTAATTTCAAGACCGTTTGGCTATCTGTCTCACAAGAGACAGAAATGATAAAATTTGGGATACCTATGTTGTGTCAAATACTCTATTTACGTTTCATCGAATCTCAAGGCACAAAGATACTAAAGAAGTTTTCACTTCAAAAAAACAACTCATGAAATATATTACATTTACTATTATTTTGAATAATATACAATCCATGGAATTATAATACATCATTGGTATTGACTTGTATTCAAAAAGGTATCCTGAAACTTAATAAAGGTATATCAGAAAGCAATAATGAAGATGTCGATTGTGACTAAATTAGCACCTTTGCACACAAATATTTGAACATCAAGGAGAAAGTTCCATTACCACAGAATAAATCCCAATGCCAATCCTAATCTCGAGATCAAGAGTATCGATTTATGTTTAGCATTTTCACGTAGATGGCGCTGGTGGTTCATATGGGTTAATCAAGTGTTCAGAGAATGCATTGACGGCAGCCGCACCGCGGACTTCCTTATCAAGAAGGGGCAATTTGGTTACATGGAAATCTTCATATAAATCTGCGATTTGCTCCAAATATTTCTCTTGAACTTTGTGCCGGGCGGCGCAAAGTTCACACGGTGCTGAAGTTCGTAATAAAAGCTGGTTAACAATAATATTGTGCGTGTCTATACCGCACCTCGTTAACTCTTGAACCAAACGCTCAGTCTCATACAGCGATAGAAATTCTGCAATGCAAACACATACAAACGTAGTCTGGTTGGGGTCCTTGAATTGCGTGTTAACTTGTCTGATCACAGAGAGCATCTCGTCCATTTTATTGCTGAACATGTCAGAGTTGAATTCGGCCAGGCCAAACAAAGTCGCTACTTGGTTTATGAATGGTGCAACCTGTAATAGTAATTTAAAATTTTAGTATTAATTTAATAATATTTATATCTGTATAATATATATTATTGGTGTATATAATGCCTCATCCATAATGTCACATTCAGATTGTATTTATTCCCAAATGCACAACTAGATCTCCACCAGAATAAGTAACTTTTTTATACGTGTTGCACCATGCTATACCATGATGTATACCCCAACATGCTTTGTCTTAAAAGGAAAATTATTTAGAAAAGGTAAGTTTAAAGTAGCGAGAAGAAGAAGCCGAATTTCCTTCAAGAGAACCAATACTTTAATGATATTTAAATTTTAATAAAAGCAGATTTTTTTTGAAGTTGATTTGTCTAATGGTTAGGAAAAACCAAAACAAATAATTTTGTCAAAATATTCTCTAGTTGTCTTTAAGAAGAGCTCTTCCTGATTCCTGATGACTGCTGTTGTCATATTTAATAACATGATGAATGCTCTTTTAAAAAAGTTCTCGAATTTTTTTCAAGACTACAATGAATTGCCTAGCCTTAAGGTCATAGTGCACTAGACCCACCCGGCACCTGACCAACACCCTGTCAACCAGCTTACGTCGGGTGGGCCACGGGTGAACGCCACGTGGAAAGCCCACACGTACGATACGTTTTTTGCATGCGAGCACCACCATGGTGGTCACCACGGTGTCATCTAGCGAGCGAGGCGAGACGAGGCGGTGGCGGTACGGAGTTGGTACAGTGAGCGCAGACACATAGAAATCCATACAAAGAATATCACGCATGAGTTGAGGTGGTGCTGGTCAGGTGTCAAGCAGGTCAAATGAGCTATGACCTCTAACTTATGGCTCCATCTTATGGAGGCTGTAGACAAACAAAGAACATAGGAAAAATTGGTTGTTTGGATAGAATGCCAAATTGATTTAATCTTACCTTTGATTTAAGGCGCATCAACTTGCCAAGTCCACGTTCAACTACTTGTGGAAATGACAGCAAACGTAGTGTGTGACCAGTAGGAGCAGTATCAAAGACAACTGCACTGAAATTCATGCCTTTCACTAGTTTCATGACCTGAAACAATCAATAAGAATATTTTAAGCAGAAAGCTACCAGTGAAATTTATCTATGAACGCATGTAAAAGTTTGGTTCTGTTTAATCCCATAAATGCAATCAGCGCTTTCTGTTTACACAATCGTACTTTAACATTGGTCCACAACCAATTTTGCTAGCTTCAATTCATGTCCGCTGGTTGCTTTCTACTTAACACAGGTCCTTTATCTTCTATACATATAAATAAAATTGGAGTGTCAGTTTGTAATATTGAAATAACCGCTTTTTACTACATGCATATAAATATATATATGGTACAAATAAATAAATACATATAAATATATATATATCTACACCAAAACAATTTTTTTACAATTTTTGTCTCTCTGTCTGTTTGTTCTGGCCAATCTCTGAAATGGCTGTACCAATTTTGACAGGACTTTAATTGGCTAATATAGTCCGGCCACTCAAGATTCCGTTTCTGACAGGTTGTGTCAGTTCCTTATGGTGATAGCATTAGAGTTAATTTTCGAACCTCTTTTTATTCTATAGCCATAAGGAACTGACACGACCTGTCAGAAACGCAATCTCTGAGCCATCGGGCTATAGTTGATGTGATAAGGAGTAACCTAGGCTACTTATATTTAAAAAATCTTATATTTTAGAAAAAAAAAACTAAGAGAAAATTATATACACACTATTGATACTATTGCAGGGCATAATTCAGGAAATTTAAACTTTTTAAGAGCTTTTATGCCCCACACATATTGAGTTACAGAAATTAAAGTTATAGAACTCCTTTGTGTGATGGGGTCACATATAAACTGATTTATTTATTTAAACTTTAAGGCTTTTACATTGGATATGGCGGACTTGATGCCAGCATGGCATCCTCTACCAGTCAACTAGAAAGAATGTGCAGTCAACCATAGAAAAGAGCAAACACCAAACAATGAGAAAAACAAAATTAAGTAGCGTTTAATACTGATTGATTGATAAAGTGAGCAATGGTCATATTTTTGATAATGTTCAAAGAATCAATACAGACATGATTTTCAGTAAGATAATTGGGTCATGTTACAGTCCATGACCATTTAATCAATATAATTAATGAATAAAAATTCACCTCAGCATAACTCATAGCTTCGTCAATCCCAGGGAATGCTCCTACAATTTCTTGCATTACACCTTTGCCCAGTCTCATAGCTTCAGTTTCACCTTCAAAATATTCTTCTGGTAGTTCTGTCACACCCACATTAGGGTCGATTTCCATGGCAAACAGATTATCAAATCCCTTGACCTTTGTTGGCACCTAAAAAAATAAAAAAACTGTTAAATTGCCAAAAAATATTTTATTTTAAGAAAAAAAGTATAAGACTGTATTCATTGATATTTTTTAACAATGAGGATATAGTTTAAGCAGGGTTCTATCGAATAAAGAATAATGATTACTAATACCATTACAAATTTCCAAATGACCAAGTTACCCTAAATATTGGTTGCGTTTAGCCAACAAAAAGGCTAAGCAGCATTTGAGAATGATTAGACTATGCTAATAAGCGTTATCAGCATTATTAGGATTAATATTAATATAAATTATTTTTCAATCCTCTATTAATTTCTTTTATGGTTATATATTTCACTAAGTATATATATGTCTAAACCCACATGTATATCCAATCCGAATATTGCTACTTAGCTATCGCTATTTTTCTTTTTATGCTGCTTAGCCTTTTTGTCGGCTAGATGCAACCATTGATTGATAGCAAAGATAACAATTACCCAAGAAGTTTTTTTTGTAAAGGTTGATTTTATTCTTGCTGCATAGTTGTTTTGTATTAAAACAATCTTTGGATTCATATTCTCATTTATGATTCCAACAGCTACTGCTTTATAGAAAAAAGAAAGGTTTCTTCTTCTTTTTGGAAAATGGACGTGCACTACCGATGTGTTGAAGTTAAAAGTATATAAATACCTTTGAAAACTTCTGGTCAAATGCATCAGAGATATTGTGTGCAGGATCAGTAGATATTATAAGAACAGATTCCCGGACTTTGGATAGTTGGACAGCTAAACTACAGCTGAAAATGTATAAAAAAAGAATTATTAAAATTTCGTTCATTTCATTGTGTTAATAACCCAATAAAATTCTCATTCTACCTGCATGTAGTTTTCCCTACACCACCTTTTCCGCCAACGAAAATCCAACGAAGGGACTTTTGGTCGATAACATTTTTCAGTGAAGGTTCCAAGGGCTCGAAATCTTTGTTTTCGTCCATTTTTGTGATATTTTACAACAATTTCACCAAAATTAAATTTCACGTTATCAATTTGACGTAAGTGACGCAAGTGACGTGATTGTGACGTGACTTAAAAGTTGTTGTTGCCATATTTTTTTAGTCTGTGGCTGTTTCCGTTTTACACAGAAACTTCGCCAGTCCCGTAGTGTGAGAGGTTGTTGCCATTTGATTTAATAAATATTGGTTCAATTAATGAAATAAAGTATGGTAGACACTTACTAGTACAAAGTCTTTACTAGTACGGTGCTAGTACATATAATCTATGCTAGTTGTAGACAACTTAGTACACATGTTGTTCTATACTTTATAGAATAAACTATAGGTTTATATTACGATTATTACAAAACTTTTCGGAAGCTGCTATCATGTTACTATAAAATCGTTTTCACTGTTCAACTTTCGTAGAAAGAAGCACAATTTTGTCATTTAGAAAAAAAAATCGTGGCTGTATAGAGTCTTGAAATGCTTTAGAAATAAATAAAGAATTTTAAAAGTATTTATTGCGAGTTTTTGGCGGGATTTCATCGAGTGCGGATGGCGTCTTATTTTAATTAATCTTAAATTCGTTCATAGTGGATATTGTAAAATAAAATTGGTGTGGTTTTGTGTAGCAACCGTCTGAGTAAATGAAAAATTAGTGGAAACGTTAAAATATACGCTATTCCGGTCAAGTGGACGTGAGAATTTTATTGTAGTGTTGACTACCTCACAGAAGCTTATCGAAAAAGCCAACTCGATAAATTTCGTGCCAAACACTCCAAGAAACATTAGAATGCGTCACACCGACATTCTAATGTAAAAACAAAAAGAAGATTAATTTAATTAAAGACTAGGCTGTATGGGCATTGTTCCCTTTGCCTTCCCTAAAACGGAAGAACTTCAACAAAAAAAGAGTATTTAATGACAATTGGAGAATTTGACATTGACATTTTGAGTTTGACAAAGAATTTTGAAAGAAAACATCGACCGCTTGTGAGAATTTTACTTGATTGAATTTTAGGTTTATTCTTACAACAGAACATTGTTACTAATTCAAAAATGTGATATTACTATCTAAAGATAATGTTGTATCGACTTCTCCGCGGACGTTCAAAGTTCAAGTCTTATGTTGTTTTGACTGTTATTGTAATTGTTTCTGTTACTGCTTATTTATTTCCACAATTGAGAATATATCCCATTGCTCCAGTTACTGTTTCTCCTAATGCGGTACATACACGTTCAACTCGACACTTGTCCAAGTTGCTGACTGTTGTGTTCCGTCAGTTTGATGATTTCGAAAATGATGTCGCCGATAGCGTACAATCGTTCGTCACTGCGTTCCCAAACATGCCTGTGGTTATTGTGTGCGATAGAAAGCCGTATCCACCTTTTCCATTTTCAGCCACGAACGATACTCTCCGTAACGTGAAAGTAATTTCACTGGAACTTAAACTAGATTCATCACCAAGAGATCTTAATCCTTTGACTCATATTCTGACGGAATTTGTGCTGTTTGTACCCGATTCAGTCAGGGCATCTCGGCGGGTACTTCAGCAAGTGGCCGCCGCAGCGACAGCATTTTCAGACCACTCTATAGCTGTACCAGTTGCAAGTGTTCATCTTGCATGTCTTCAAGTTCAATGGAATTATTCTGATTGGACATTACAATATTCTAAAGATGCCGCGGGAAAACTATGCGATGCTGTACATGGGCAACATGCATTACTAATAAGGACATCACTTCTTAATACCATGCCCCAACCATTTGCATTGCCTTTCCCTGAGTCACTGTATTTGCAAACTGCTGTGAAAAATATTAAGGTTAGTATCTAATGCTAGTTAAAAATAAATAAATTTATTATGAAAGCAACTTAGACTCTAATTTACGTTAGTATACATTTGCTCTAAATATCATATGTTAATACAGTTCAGTTCAATATAAATAATGGATATTCCATTACTGCCCCATTCCATGTGAAATGGAGTAGCAATGTGCCAGATAAGGACAGTCAAACCAGCTGCTTATCATAGTTAGATGTTACTGATTTTGTTCAAGAGAGTGTCATAGATGCAACAGCTTGCCTTAACAATACAATATGTATAGACAGCCGCAGGTTACCCAATACTTTAAAAAATCTATAACTGAGTTTTATTTTGCTTCTTATAAGATTCACATTAAGATTGAGATAATTTGATATTTTGAGGTAATTTTATCTGTTGCTTATTGACTTATATTGTATGAAAAACTGTTTTTTTCATATTTGAAGTTGAATAAGGAAGGAGGGCCCGCTGCCCCTTCCTAGATATTATAAAAAATGTAGCCAAATGTAGATCAATCAAAGTCCTTAGTCCACTCACTTGACTTGCTTGCCTGAACAAACAATTCTGTTTCCTGCACATCAAAACTTTAATGAATTCACTAGGCAATTCCAATCCCGTCATGTACTCATAATTCATATTTTTACACCCTCCTTTTATGTATATGAACTTCCCTCTCTCTAGGCCATCAATGTATATGAACTTGCCCCCCTCAGGCCATCAACTACAGACACCCTTGAAGTTGATTATTAAAATAAAACTACCTAACAGTGGAAAAAAGTTTGCACATTATTTAGGGTTTTTATTGGTAATATAAAACTGTACAATAACTTATATCAATAGAAATAATAAAGTTTGTTCTCTCATTCTTGAGTTCTTTTTATTGTTACAATACTCAAAAAGAACTTAGAATACTAAATTGAAAGTATCTGCTGCTGCATCACTCATTTGCTGCTGCTCGGCCTCCTTATCAACAATCAACACTTAGTTGTCATTTTGTAATATGGGCCGGGCCTTGAAACAGTCAGCTAAACATATTGCCTTAAAATGCCACCACCACAATTTCCGTCGATCGACAATTCATTATTTTTATGTTGTAACTATTGATACTATTCAATACGCCTTCGAAAAGAAGTTCAAATCGACTGCAAGTAGGTTAAGTCCGTAACATCTTACAACTACCAAAATGGCTTGCTAAGAATTGACAGACGAAACGCCATTTTTGATTCAATGTACAGAGTAATTCCGTTATATAATATTATTAAAAAATTCCTACAATAATTTTATTATTAGCGATGTAAAAACTAACTGTAAATGAGTTTTAATTGCTTATTGTAAATACTTCTTTTTATTTACGAAACTCTATTCAACTAACAAAGTTTGTCAAATTCAAACTTGAAAATCATTTTTATTACAAAATAATTTATACAACAAATTATCTATAAAGGTTCTTGTATAAAGGTATATTATAAGCAGAATAACACACTTTGTAATACTATGCGTATAAAAATATGCACTTACCTTGAAAAAAAAAGAAAAATTACACACCTTACCCTTACAGACACGTAACCACAATACGATAAAAAAAATCACTTTCAATAATGCGAAAAAAAACTACGCAGTGTAGGCAACGATATTAAATACCCTAGATACTCCAACACGAACAAAATCGTGCCCGAAACCTGTCCAAAAGGTACATTGAACGATCCACGGAGCTCCGTAAGATAATCGCGTAGTCAAAATCAATATAAGGCATGATTTAAATATTAAAAGTAACCTTTAATACATACTGTATAAGGTCTTAAATAAAACGCATGCGTCAAGGACTTCTGACAGTTCGAAATGCAAGCTCGTAAAATTTTACGACATTGCTGTATGCGGAAGAATTTAGACTTTAGTTCTTTGACTCTACGCGCAATTCTGAACGCGCTGTTTAGCAATATAGCAGTCACGGACGGAAAAGAGACGGCTATATGGCGACGTTTTACCGACCATGTATTTGAATATCACAAATATTTGTTATTAGATTAGTTTATAGTAAGTATTAGATAAAAATTGTTAGAAATGCGTTAAATTAACAAACATTGACTAGATACCTGTCGAAAAAACGACACTTTTCGTACTCTAAGTATTATTTTCGAATTTTTTCGCGGAGCTTTGTGCCATCTTGACTTTGTAACGGTCCGCGTGTGACTGTGAACCAAGAAGTGCTTGAGTGGAGTTCAAGCACTTCTTGATTGGGACACATTTTGAGCGCTCGTGGTGTATCTAGGGTATTTAATATCGTTGAGTATAGGCGAAAACTTTTCTGCTCTGGAGATAGGAAATTTATTCTAGTTAGTCTATGGTTAAACATCTTTACACAAAAGTCGACTCTAACCATCTCAAAAAACGATCTAGAATCCCGTGGGTAGCGCGCCCCGTTCGGGGCGTTAGGCGGTGAACACTGGCGCAGATTGGAAGCGTTGCGAATCGTCATGTTTTTCGCTTATATCACATTCATCTCTGCTTTCCTACTAATAAGGTACAAATTTGTGTTATGCAAATATGGATTCGCCGAAGCACGCCTTTGCGCGTTAACGCTTGGTTAAAGTCGAGCGATTTCGCGCGAAGTTGAAAAACAGGACGCGTCCTGTTTTTCAACTTCGCCCTTGCGCGTCGCGACGCGCAAGGGCGGATCCAGGGGGGCGGTCATGGGGGTCATGACCCCCCCCCCCCTGGGCTGGGTCCATCTGTACCCACTTCACAATCGGTACTTCACAATCTTTACCCACTGTGACTTGACCACGACTATATGATCCCCCCCCCTGGCGCCAAAGCTGGATCCGCCCTTGGCGACGCGACGTTTCAACTCTGCCCCATGCGCCAGTATGAGTTCAGCCTAAGTATCATTATTTTTTCCTCTTATTTTCTCTTTAGGTACAAATTTTGGAGGGCAAGTTGGGAGGAGGCCGTAGTGTGCTAAAGTCACCTGGTGCACGACAGAGAGTGTCTCGTCGTATGCGAGACTACCGAGTAGCACTGTACAAACAGCTTGGTGTCAAAGCTGTGATCAGGGAAGATGGCAGAGTGCAGTGGTTTGGCTGCAAAAGGGAAACACAGGTTCAGAATGAAATATTGTTTTTTAGATGTCTCCTGCCGCTCGACTCCTTGACTCGCGCTGCAGTGCGGTGCATTCGAGGCGGTTAAAACAGAAAATCTTTTGAAAAGAAAAACATTTTTCAATTATTTAGGGTGAAGCCGAGCGTAATTTTTGGGAGTAATTTCTGTCTCGTAATTTAAATTGTTGTTGTTGTTTATAGAAAAGTGCTGTTTGTCAGCTCATTTTGCGTCGCGGTGTGAATCGAAATGGAGTTTTATATGAAACCGAATGCAGCTTAAATTACGCGACTCGCAACCCAAAAGATTACGCTCGTTTGGCTTCACTCTTACTACCTATTTATGGTAAACTTATGAGACAACTCACCTATGTACCTACTATTATAATTATTATAAAACTTCAAGGTTCGTATTGTAGCTGTCATAAAAAAACTGCCCATATTTTTTAGAGATGTTATCCATCAGTGCAAGGCACTCCATCTTATATCCTCGCGGGGCGCAATACGCCGCCGTGTTGTCGGCGCAATATGAAGCGCACAGCAGGACACGTGCTGCGAGCGCTGCTTCAAGCTGGGGCTCGGTGCTGGCTTGAGACTACTTCACTCTTGGGAGCCGTCGTTCAGTGAGTAATCACTTCATGGAAAAAGTTTTCAAAAGTGTGGCATTTAATAGAGCAAGCCAGTTTTCTAAAGTGTGGCATTTAATAGAGCAAGCCAGTCTTGCTATGAAATGGTTATATGCTAATCCTGATTACGTGTCGGGAAGTCGGGTATAAACGACAGCTAAGTAGAGATGGAAAAAACGGCTTATTTCTTAAAAGCGTTTAAACGTTGTACTTTTTAAAATAAGCGCGCTTGAAAAAAAGCTTTTTCGTTTAAACGCTTATTGGCTTAAACGTTTAAAAGCATGCGTAAAAAGCGCGACGTTGTGTTGTGTTTTCGTTTAGGTATATCGTTTAAAAAAGCGTGAAAAGTTTATTGTCGTTTTTAATGTGTTTAAGTGTTTTATTGCGTTTTTCTTCTTATTAATGAAATTTTTATTAAAAAGTTTTTTAAACCTAATGAATTGATTGGCATTAAAAACGAAAGATTTTCAATTGAATTTAGATTTTATAATAAACATTTTTATAATAGTCAATGAACTTTCCTTCGTACTTTACAAGCTTAGGACTGTGTGGAGTTAATATACTCGTGATCCAGGCGTACTTAAAAGTTCATTGATTTTATATACATACTTTTAACTATTTTATATGCACATTAAACCAAAACACGAAACGCATTAACACAAGCAAGCATGCAAACACACCGTACAACACCCACGCGCTCTTACCCCGTCACAGTGACAAGCGTACTGCTTTTCGACTTCGTTTAATTAAATGCTTTTAACTAAAAAATCCGAGCAAATTTTAAAAATGTGCATTTTTTTACGTCGCATTATAATAATTCGCATGCTGTATTAACCGGCTCACGAAAGATGGCACGCCGACGCGGCGGCGGCGCTGTAGCCGCGCGTTCTATGTCTGTGATATTGTGAAATTTTTAGTTCCAAGGAATTCCGCGTACCCATTTTTCGATACTGTAGTGGACTAGAAGGATCGAAGTATGTAGTTTCCTGGCAAAGACATAGATGGCGGGATTTGCACTTTTTAAGTAAAAAAATGGTTGCCTGTAAAGTCGGTTTTACGGGCGAAGATTTTACGTGACAACGTCTTTTTCTCGGTAGAATATTTATTGATATGAATATAATTAAATTGCACAATAGGAACAAGGAATTGAATGAAAATAAGAATTGCACAAATTTTAACTATAGAAATATATTTTGTTTACTAAAACATTGTACATGTAAACTTAAACTTAACACGAGAGACTCATCGTAACGTTACCGAGCGTTACACTTTTTCATAAGTGACTCCCAGCCGCAACCTAATTTAAGACGTTGTCACGTCAAAAATATACTTGCACTTTTTTAAGTGAAAAGCTTACTCACACTTTTTAAGTAAAAAGCTTATAACGCTTATACTTAAAAGCGTGCTTACAAGCTTAATATTTTAAGCGCGCTTGTTTAAGCGCTTTTCGTTTAAACGCCCACCGCTACAGCTAAGTGTTTGTTTGTTTATTGGTGTTAATTTAAATATGCTCATTTAAGTAGTGAAATTATTTTTTTATGCATAGCAAACTCGTGTTTTCCAGGGGCGATTTGCTACCGTGGGCTGAGTACACAGAAATAGGTATCCACGCCTCGGACGTGTCCCGGGTGTCCTGGCTGCAACGCGGCGGTGCCGACGCCGACGGCTTCGTATGGGAACGCGCGACCAAAGGCCATTACTACCGCGTGGCATATTCGGCTACAAATAGAGTGTACGTCTTGATCCTGCCATTCGCCGCTAGAAATGGCACAATGTGGCCTGCCGACTGGGTGCTGGCACATCAGAGGGAATTCCCTGAACGCCATCTGCATCCGCTGGCACAGGTGAGTTTGCAAGTAATCACAAATAGCTTAGCATTTTAGATACAGTGCCGGATTTAAGTGAGGCCAGGCGGGGCTGCTGCCTTAATAGCCCCACAATAAAGCAATTATTACTTCTTTTTTCCAAACAGCCTTTATTCAAACATTAAAAACGACAGCTTTGATCCCATATTACTTTAATATCCATTGACACCTAAAAGTAAACTTCATTCCTATGATAGCCTAATCAAGTACCTATCAGGAATCTTTACCAATACATAAAAAAACAATCCGAACTTTTGTTCATACTAAATGGACATTATGCTTTATTTATCCTTTCACAATAATATAATGTTTAACCTGCTTAGTAGGCAGGTAACCTCCCTCCTCCTTGTGTCGTGCTCCTCATTGCTGAGGGTCGTGACCTCCACGAATTATTTTGTGGACGATCGCTTTCCACTTTTTGCGGTCTTCAGCAGTGTGGAGTGACATCGCGGACTCCAGTTTTGGTATTGTCGCGGATATGGTCTGTCCAGCGCATGGGGCTTCTTCCTCTTGATCGCCTTCCCTGTACTTTTCCTGTCACCAGGAGCACTTCCAGGGTATCGTTTTTCTTCCTAGCTATGTGACCGAAGAATTCGAGGATCCTACGCAAACAGAATGTGGACAGTCTAACTCTAAGAATTGACTTCTTTAAGAATTGACGCATTTGTGCGGTGGGCTGTCCACGGATCTCGTAACATTCTCCTCCAACACCACATCTCAAATGCGTCAATACGAGATCTGTCTGCCTTCTTGAGGGTCCATGTTTCCGCACCGTAGGTGAATATGGAGAACACCAGAGTTCTCACCAGGCCAATCTTGGTCTTTTGTGAAATTGATCTATCTGTCCAGATCCTGCCTAGCCGGGTCATCGTGCTTTTTGCCATACCAATCCGGTTCGCATGAGCCATCGCTACATATGGTAGAGCCAAGGTACACAAAGCTGTCCACATATTGGAGATCGAGTCTCCCACTGAGCTCCAGTTGGATTGAATCAGGAAACATCATTATTATCTAATATATAAAAATTATAAGACTAAGCACATAATATTTAGCAGCCAGCACGCGATAATTCTGTGGTATAAAAGTGACGATTCAAACTTAATAACGGCTGTGCAATTGGTGCAAGTCGCACTGCAGTAAATGACAGGTGTGCGCGGGATTCCACTGAACTGATATCAGTTGCGCTCGCTGCTAATTTCATAACCGTCATAAAGTTTGAACAACACATAATCGAAGCATAATCTTATTTGTCCCATTTCCAGATATCCTTTGCAGGGCGGCAAGCCCCGGCACCCAACGACGCACGCGCATTTCTAGATCTCAAACTAGGCGCAGGCGCAGTCGAGAGATGCGTCAAAATAGGCCCAAAATTACTCTACAATTAGTAAATATACTCTTCTAGCATTCTTTGAGCACAGCAATATTAAACACACTTTTCGGTATCAGTTTTTCTAACGGACTTTTACACAATTTGTATTGAATTATAGATCTTATGAGACAAAATTTCACATAGTTTTACGTATTTTTATTGGATTTTTACTTTGGTGAAATCGTTTTAAAGCAATTTTAAATAAAATTCTTCGAATATTGTATTAGAAAGTATTGCAGAAGATATTTTAATGAAAATTTACTATAAAACATTGAAGGTTGAACCTAACATAAATTTTCTTTAAATTGGTAGAATAATCAATCTCATTTGAATCAGGTAGGATTTATTTTAGGTCGACAATTTAGACGTAATGTTGGTACGTCACATGGCATTTGTAATTTAACAATTAGGTACAACAATATCGGCTTGATAACAGTTTGTTCATTGTTTCCATTCCCCGATAGAGCCTGATAAAAATCAGATATTCCATAATTAGGTATTAAACTTATATTTGGATTTTAGACACAAAATGAGATCGGGACGATCGAATGGGTAGTCATATAGTAGGTAAATACAGTAACCTATGTTGTAGAAAATATAAGTACGTAAGTTAAGTACGTTCTATTTATTGTAAAGATGAGATTGATTCTATCTAATAGTGTTGACTTGCCTTAATTAGAGAACTGTTTAGGATCTATTTTTAAATATTATTTCGTGTTATTGTATGTAAAGGCTACTTGATACTATCTAGAGCACCTCAGTTTTAAATTTAAAATTATGCTTTCACTGTACGACGAATATATAGTCAGCCGTTGTACTTTGTGCCATATTGTATTTATTGTTTGATAAACATAGTGTTGCTATTGTTTTAAAATGTTAGGCGCTAAATAAACGGTATTTAAAAGTTATCGCAAGCGCGCTCTATAAACAGCGGTATTGAAAACAACGTCGTTGTCTGTAAACCATCATTGCTTTTTGCTTATTAAAAATCCATTGCTTTTTATTTAATTGAGCTTTTTTCGGTTTACAGAGTGCCATGTGTTATTTGAAATCATTGGGATGTCGCAGAAAGGTTGCAGATTTAGGCATATTATATTCCGGCCAGAAATATTTCATATTAAATGTAAACATAGTTTTTTTTTATTAAAACAAACATATGAAAGCGCGTAAAAAGTACTATTACACTAATTATTTTATTATTATTTTGTTAAGTATAGTCAGGTCACTTACTAAATTGTAAATCATATGTGAATTTAGTAGAATGTTGGCCGCCGTATTGACAAGTGACAATTCGACTAATTGACGTCCAGCTATAATATAAAATGACTATCTCTAAACAACTACCTGATGTGTAGTTAATACTGCTAAATTTACAGTTTGCCTGCGATAAATGTTGAGAAAGTACAGTGTAGACTGTACACATGCTGATCAACACAAAATTAATGTTGACAGCGCCTTTGTTACGTAGCAATAAGTCAGATATTCGTAGTGCTAGTGTATACACTCGTAATTCGTACCTCGACTGTACTTAAAGAAATGAAAATCCCACGTAAAGTGAGTTTACGTGAGTATTTGTTGTAATAAAATAATTAAAAATTATGATGAAAATAATGTTATTAACATTGTAAGAGATATATTTTTGAAGCTTATAATTTAAAATATTGTTGTTCATGCTAATTTTAATAGATGAGTGCAAGCCGGCTATGCGTGCTTAAAAAGAACTCTTTCATTTCTTTTTTTTCAAAGTTTATTTATGGTCGTGTTGTGTAACAGTTGAGTAAGAAAACACAACTTTAAATGGCATTTGATTTATTTGGCGTCCTTGAGTATGGCTGTCAAACTGAATGTATTAAATTTATAGAAGAATTTAGATTTTCGGAAAGCGGATAAAATAAGTAGGTAAATATTTTAGCATTTGGGGCCTAGGAATACATTTTTTTAATCTTCCTTAGAAGATAATATAATTCAACAATATATAAAGCGCAGATTTTATAGATTTTCATTGAATTTCGTACAATTTCACATTTAGGTAAAGGTGTTATTCTTGACGGCCCCAGTATAGATTATTAACTCAATTTTTCTAGTCAATGAAATGAACTTTTGGAGATATCAAAGTGATCTAGTCGTAAGTGTATGAAAGCACCTCTAAATAGTGTGCGTATATAAGCCGCTTATAAAGTGGCCAGTTTTGTGTTATAAAACTATATGGAGATATGTCATTCTAAATAATGTCCTGTTTTTTTGATAGCTTTACTAGTTTTATTAAAAATGATATACTAATGTACATTCAATGTGTTTTATTTTAAGTAACATTAAATAAGAAATCAATAAAAAATATACAATTTATTAATCGTCTTCAAACTTTTCATCTACTACTCCTGGTGTGAAAGGTGGATCTCGCACCAAGCTTAATAGTTTATCTAACTTCATGATCTGGAAGGAAATAGAAAGCATATCATACAGTATCGGCACCAAGTTTTTTTTTGTATGTACAACCCTATCCTGTGTGAGATATAAGTGGATCGAGGGGAAAATCTAACCCCCTAGCATGAACACCGCGATATGATATATAACGTTTTTATCACGCTCAATTGTCAAATTACTATGGAGTTTGATAGTTCGACGCGATAAAAAACGTGATATAATGTAAATTGTGGTGCTCATGCTACAGGGACAGAAATCGCTAATTTGTATCGAGTGATTAGGTACTAAAAATAATTGAAACACACAGCTTTCCGGGACTTTCGGTCCGTCCGGTTTTTTGGAAATCCCTCATAAACCAAACAATTTTTCGGGATAAAGTATCCTATATCTTTTTCCAGGTTATAAACTGTCTCTTTTTTAATTTTTATCCAAATCCGTTCAGTCGTTTTTATGAGTAACAAACATACAAAGTTATTTTAACTGAAACTTTTACATTTATAATATAAGTAGCATATGTATACATATATGTAAGTAATAGCATTATGTAAGAAGAGGTCAAAGGCTAATTTAATATCTTTACTTCTCTGGATCGCAACTCAAACACATGGATAACAAAATCAGTCAAAATGGATAAAAAATAAGTATAATTTATAACATGTGTGTGTAGTTAATAGAATTAGCATATTTTTACAAAGTAAATTACAGACCTGTAGAGTTCTCTGGTCGACGCCTTGCGCTTTTTTCGGTGGTTTGCACATCACTCTTAAATTAGGTGATAATTTCAAAACGTGACAGGTGCCTCTGAAATACGAAAAAAATATAAATTATAATATAAAAAATCCCTTCGGCCGTCAACGAAACCGTAGTTTCTTAACTGGTTTCGATAAAGGAATTAAATTGATGTGTAACATCTTTCCTCTCGCTTTCCTGCAATTTGTGGGAGTGATTTCGTGAAATGGGACGGAAGTGTGTAACAGGACGTCGCGAAAGCGCGGCCTTTTGATTTCATTTTAGAACATAATGTTCAAATGATATAAGTTTTCCTTTTGTAGTAGGTTTTATTTCTTTTTTACTAATATAAGATGAGGTTTCCAATGTTACACATCATACGCGACTACTGTAAGGCTCGCTCGTTTTTTCCTTCTACGTAACTAGTTTTGATGAAGAAATTCTTCTTTGTACGAAACCTCGGTTACGAACAAAGATTTTTTGCAATTTTTGAAAGAGGCACGAGTAATAGACGTGCATAGAAGTAGGACTAAAAAGTCTAAATACTTCATAAAAATATGTTCAGAAGTGTATAAACGAATATAAAAAACAAAATAACTGTAGGCCACTGCCTCGAAATCATATGCACAAATGCTATATATTTTTATTTTTTGGAACTAATTACTGTTTTAATAAGAACTACGATTCGCGACGCGACTCACATATTTTTATTCAGTTACAATGAAAAGTTATTAAATATGTAACAATTTAAAATGTAAATGTGGTTTCAATAAATTTCTTATTTGACTAACATGAAATTCCTTTTATACCTTGACGACCTCCGTGCCGAGTGGTTTGTACGCCGGGTTTCATGGTGTCGCCGACTCGAGAGGTCCCGGGTGCGAATCCCGGTGGGGGCAGATGTTTGTGTGATGAATACGAGCATTTGTACTCCAGTCATGGATGTTTAATATGTATTTCTATATAAATATACTTATATATGTACAGTATATGTATTCTATCCGTTACCCTAGTATCCCATAACACAAGCCTTTACAGTGCTTACTTTGGGGCTAGGCTAATTGGTGTGAGTGTTGGAAATATTTATTTATTTATTTATACCTATACATAAGACAAATAATAATCATCCATGTAAACTGGTAACGTACAAGGTAAAATATTTCTTTCTTTGAAACCTTAACAACAAATTCCTTGTATGTAACCATGATACTTCAACGCGGTTTCGTATAAAGAATAATAATTCCTCCATCGAAACCAGTTACGTATAAGGAAAAATAATTCCTTCATCGAAACCAGTTACGGATCTACGGTTTCGTAGACGGCCGAAAGGATTTTTTTTTAATAGTGGTAGAATTACAAAAAAAACTTTCGTCTAATAATGCCCCCAGAGAGATTTGAACTCTCGACCCCTGGTTTACAAGACCAGTGCTCTAACCCCTGAGCTATGGAGGCGATATGTTTCATATCGAAATTTCTGTAGACGTAATCTGACTGCTTTCGTGACTCATTTCGCGATCAGTTTTATGACGTAGGTAGTTATGTTTGTTTGTTTTAATTTGTTGTTTGTTATCGTTCTTTGTTCATAATCAAGTTCGATAATAAATTTTTGCTCGCATTAATATTATCATATAGGAAGTTATGCTAATGTTGGTTGAAATGGTTGAGTTATTAAATTAACTAGGTACCGGCAGTCCGGCACACGTCAACATACACCCCGACAAATAATTTCAGCATCGATCATAGTCGAGTAAGCCTGCGCCGCGCCGTAGCTATTTTACATACCGAAACGTCTACCAACTGCGCAAGTTTTGCTCAAGAAGTTTGCCGTTGCCTATAATTTCATAACTTTTCATTTTCAGTGTTAAAACACCTTCCTCTAAAAGAACTTCGACAACTGCATCCAGCATTTGTCAATAGAGAAGGAACCATTTTGCTTCACGACAATGTAAGGCCTCACATCGCACAATTGTCCCTATAAAACATTTACCAGTTCGGGCACGAAATTCTGTCAGACCTTTCACACACTGACTACCTACCACTTCTTTAAACATTTGGACAACTTTTTAAAGGATGAATGTTTAAGAAACGAAGACGACGCACGGCCAAAATGCCCATACTGATTTCATTGTTTCCAGAACTCTGTTATTTTACAAGATTGGTATAAATAAGTTGTAGCTCGTTGGTATTGAATCAAATGGTTCTTATATTTAACCGACTTCAAAAAGGAAGACATTCTCAATTCGGTCGGTATTTTTTTATGTATGTACACCGATTCTTTTTTGTTCGATGCAGAATAGTTGCCCTTTGGTCTCATAAATTTTTTATCTAGTTTGACCCGGTATTTTGTTATGCATTTTTGTTACTTGGGCGATGTAATTTTCAAGATACATTGTTTATTATTTACACCGTTCTTCTTTTGTTCAATGGAAGATATAGGCTACAGGCCCGTGTCAAAAATTGATGGGTCATTTGAATCACCACAAGACCTATTTAGAAAGAAAGAAGAATATTAAATAATAAGATTCAGCACTATGCCGTCACTGGTAAGCTGTCCAACAGTGTGCAGATGAGAATTCAAAAGTACAGATAGATTGAGAACATTTTGATCATATATATTTGTACGGTATTCTTACCATCGATAGGCCCGTGAAAAATAATAATAAAAAAATAGTGCACCATAAAGTGGTATTTTTTTTTGATTTTCCGATGATTCTTAGGGTAAAAGGTCATTTGATTCTTTACGGCATCGGTTTCGTACAGCTACAATACTTCTTCTAATTCACTATTTCGCAATGCCGTACAAAAATCATACGACAAGGGGGAAAAATCGAGGGTTGCAACACCCTCCCCTTCCGTGGTCCGGGGGGTGATTTGACACAACATAAAATTAAATGATTTTGAAAGTATTTTATGATAGATAACTGTTTTTCACATGTCGTACATTTTTGTTGGTCCAAAAGTCTGTGCTGGGGGGCAAGAGCTCTCGAGAAATTCACGCAACGAAATGTTCTTCAGGGTGATATTCAGTACGATTTTTTTTGTACGGCATTTAGATAGTTCATTTGTATTTAATGCAATCGTCTATAAAATCTCCTCTTATCTGTTCTCTTGAATTCTCATCTGCACTCAGATATAGTAGTGACGGCATAGTCTCATCTTATTATTTAATGTCCTTCTATCTTTCTAAATAGGTCTTCTGGTGGTTCAAATGGCCCATACATTTTTGACACGGGCCTGTAGTCTAATACTTGCCGTTTGGTTCTATGAAAAAATATTCAGTAGTTTTTATTTTGAGCATTTTTGTTTACTTGGACGATTTAATTTTCACGAAAATGGATGAAATATTTTGCTGTTTCATACAAAAGTGCATCAGCTAATCGACCGAAATGAATGAAACAGAACATGATTTTTTTTCACGATTTCAGAGTTAGTCCCATAATAAAAGTTGTTCCTGTTGATGGGTACAATCACCCCCTAAGAGGTTGTTGGTGTTTTAAAATTGACCCTGTATAATCTCTTGAGTGTGGATGGTGATCAAAGATCCAGGAATAAGAGGTGAGGGCAAGGGCAGATCCAGCTTTGGCGCCAGGGGGGGGGGGGGGGGGTCATATAGTCGTGGTCAAGTCACAGTGTTTACAGATTGTGAAGTGGGTACAGATGGACCCAGCCCAGGGGGGGGGGGGGTCTTGACCCCCATGACCATAAATACCTCTGCTGTTTAGTTTCCCACATTGTTTACTTACTTGGTGTCTCCTGCAACGATAACAGGCAAACGAGAGTTGAAGTCTATCCTCGTTAGTTTTTTGGTCTTCTTTGAGACGACCGCTTGCACGCATATCGGCCGATATTTGTTGACGTTCAAATCGTATACGTATACCTTGAAGGACGAGAGTACGTAAGTATACATGAGAGGAAACTTTTGTTATCAATATATTCGGAACCTCACATTACAGAACAAATGCCAGATGGAGCGCTCGGTACACGCAATGCGTGCCAACAAAGCAAATACGAAGTCAAAGCATTTACTATGCTTTCTTTTATCTTTGTGAACAGTTTTTATGATGTATGCTCAAGGCGGCACAATTTTTATAAAAACTTAACATTCACGAGATGTATTGAAAACACGATGCATTGTGGTGTATTGACGCGATTGGCAGTCGTTTTTGTCTTTGTATTTACTGTGGTGCCACGCATTCCATGTTCTGTGCGCTCCATCTGCCTTTTGATCTGTAATCTAAGTTCGGAACAATTGTAATCTGTAGGGCTTCCTGGAGAAACTGGGGTGGCAGGATTAAAGCGCGTATTCCACTTGACTAAATTCAGACGTTCTAAATTATTCAGTAACTAATTCAATCAAGTGAAATAGTATTTAGGAAGTTAGGATCCCAATTAGCATCCTAAATCGAAAGAAGTGTGGCTTCTGACTGACTTAAAGTATTTTAATTAGAAAGTGATTTTGGAACGTGTGACCCTATCACACGTTCCAAAATCGCAGAGATTCAGATCAGATGCTTCAGTCGTACAGCAGGCGTCACTGCGTAAGGATGTTTATACGATTACGAATTACGCGAGTGTGCTATGCCGGCGGCAAAAGAAAAAAAGTTATGAGTAACATAATCGAATTGTAAAAAGATATGCCGTATCATTGGAACAAAAACTATAAAAATTACATTAATAATATTAATATTTTTTCATCCACGTTTTCGTTTTTTACTTTCGAGGTGAAGTTAGCGCAAGTCGCGCCGAAATAAACAAAATATACATAGGTGTACATGGGTCATCCTCGACTCGTTGCTAACTTCACGATCGCCACAAAGTTTTAATCACAAAAAAGTTTGTCACGTCTTTTTGTGTTTACCTACAAGACCAAAAATTCGAACAAATAAAATAGACATACCTTGCCATCCGCAGTGCAAGCGGCGAAGACAGTGCTGGAGTAAGGGGCCCATTTCACGTCACCCACCGGAGAACCCAATTCGAACATGAACAGAGGTTCACTGTTTTGGAAAAGTCACAGACATGAAACCAAATTATGTTCCTCTATAAAGAAACATCGAAAAAGACTAGAAATACTTTAATTCAATGATTCGAACCTTTTTAATGCTGAAAATAAAAATTAAGGTACCTACCCAATTAAAAAAAAAAACAATTTATTGTAGATCACTTTTAATGGTAAGGCCAAGACACTAAAACAGAGTTGCGTTACTTTTGTATAGCCTAAGAAGCACTGTAGAAGATATTTTCATTTTACTGCTGTTTGTGTTGAGGTGATATTTTCTCTCTCTGCAGACTATTACATTTTTATAGTACCTAATACACATACTAACTGCAACACCGTGTTGGCATAATATGATACGATAATTTATTATATTTTTATTTTTAAGCATTTAACTGCTAGATGTTAAAATTTAAAGAAAATTTTACTAGAAATAATTCCTCGAGGTACAGGCGCAGGCGGGACTCGAGAACCGAATCGACACGGCCATTATGGTCGCGCTAGCATAATAGGTCAGAGCATCCGCCCGGATAGCCGAGGTTAGAGTCTCATCTGCTGCCTGGACCGGTGGTTTATTTCTAGTAAAATTTTCTTTATGATAAGATAAATTCGAAGCTAACTCACTCCCTTCCATCCTCCCATATCTTGACGCGCCAATCGCCCGAGCAGGACGCGTAGATGCTATTGTTGAACAAGTTGTAGTGGATCCGGTACACGGGCATGTGGTGACCTTGCACCGAGCGCACATAGTTCCTGTTATACTTCAGGGAACACGTGTGGATCATGCCCTCCTCAGTACCCACCATGAAGATCTCCGGCCTTTCCGGGTGGAAGCAGATGCAACTGCCACAACCTAGACGCAAGGTGGGAAGTGTGAGTGAGCAGTTCGTTGTGCTTGTGTTTACTGTTCTGAGGCCGTATTGTGAAGTCTTAAGAGCCCTTTCACATTTTTTGCAAAAAATCGAAACTTTTTAGCGCCTCGTTTACCCACCCCCTTAGAAAAGATTTTGACTATTTCCAATAGAAGTAAACAGTAGATTTATTCTTTCTATTGTAAGTTAATGTAGAATATTTGCAAATACTGTTTTCCTTTTTTGTACTGATCGTTCTACCGCAGCTAGTTTACGGAAATAACGATAATGCACAACTTCAAACGCCTGAATCTCTAAATAATGTTCAATAAATAAGATCAAATTTATTACTAAAACATAAGAAATATGTTTTTGTTGTAACATAATGTATTAGAATTTTAATTTTCCGTCTCATTAATTATCAAAAAAAAAAACATCTAACCTCCGTGAGTTTTCCCAAAAAACAATGCAGGTTTACCCGTATTTTGATATTGAATTAAATACTATCAAAAACTTTCATAAAACTAATCTACCACTATTGAACTACTAAAATATTTATATATTTTTATAATTAGTTCATTAATAATTATTTTATAAGACTCGAAACATCACCCGTAAAATGCAATATTACTAGTGCAAATCTACCTACGCGCCGATCAGTATGGCAGCGGCGCAATTTTGTAAAAGGGTTCTTAACGCCAGGCAAGTTAATTTGTTACAACGAGCAACATAGACACAGAGCAGAATCCTGCTTTTGCCTGGCGTTAAGAGTAGGATGCCATAATGTTGAACAAGTTGTAATGGATCTGGTACACGGGCATGTGGTGACCTTGCACCGAGCGCACATAGTTCCTGGTGTACTTCAGGGAGCACGTGTGGATCATGCCTTCCTCAGTGCCCACCATGAAGATCTCCGGCCTTTCCGGGTGAAAGCAGATGCAGCTGCCACAACCTAGATGTAAGGTGGGAAATGTGTGTGAGCAGTTCGCTGTGCTTATGTTTACTGTTCTGAGGCCGTATTGTCAGGGCCGGATTTAGGATTGTGGAGGCCCCGGGCCACTTAGGATTTGTATGCTTGTTAACCCATCGAAATTTTGTTATCTTATAACCTGTTGTGGAGGCCCCGGGCCACTTAGGATTTGCATGCTTGTTGACCCATCGAAATGTTGTTATTTCTTAAGCTGTTGTGGAGGCCCCTGGGCCACAGCCCCACCTGCCCTGCCCTAAATTCGGCCCTGCAGCCATTAAGCGATTAGGGTACTCCCTCAAGATGGATAGTGAATTGGAAGTGCATTTGAGATTTTGATATTTCACTGATTGCCTGATTGGAGTGAACAAATATAGATCAATGATTTCTGTTACGAGTATTTAAGATTAATATAATCAAATAATCATGTATGTTAGATATACAAAGTACTGTAGGCTGTAGGTAAAGGTAAAAGAGCAAAAAAAAAAATATCAAAGGAAAAGATGTTTACTAGTGTTTACTAGTTGGAATTTGAAAGATTTTCTTTTCCGAAGTCTGTATTGTGGGGGCCCCCCGTTTGTGAAGGCCCCGGGGCTTTCGCCCCGGTTGCCCTCCCCTAAATCCGGCAGTGCGTATTGTGAAGTCTTAACGCCAGGCAAGTTAATTTGTTACAGCGAGCATCATACACACAGCTGAATCCTGCTTCAACCACTGCTTTTGCCTGGCGTTAAGAGTAGGATGCCATGTTGTTGAACAAGTTGAAGTGGATCCGGTACACGGGTATGTGGTGGCCCTGCACCGAGCGGACGCAGTTCCTTATGTAATTCGGGGAACGAGTGTGGTTCATGCTTTCTCCAGTGCCGACTATAAAGTACTCCGGCTTTTCTGGGTGGAAACAGATGTAACTGCCACAACCTAGGTGAATAGTTGGAAAAACTTGTAAGTGAGATGTTTGCTATGCATGTGTATAGTGTTCAGAAGTCGTATTATAAAGTCTTAATGCCAGGCAAGTTAATTTGTTACATCGAGCATCATACACACAGAGCAGCATCCTGCTTCGAACATTGTTTTTGCCTGGCGATAAGAGTAGGATGTGTAGGTGATATGATATTATTGCACCGAGCGACCTTTTGTACTTCAGGGAGCAGGAGTGGATCATGCCTTCTTTAGTGTAGACCATAAAGATCTCCGGCCGCCTTGCCAGGTGGTAGCAGATGCGGTTGCCACACCCTAGATACAAGGTAATGAGAATTCTTTGAGAGAGCAGTTTGCTGTGCTTATGTTTACTGTTGTTGTATAGATTTGTGTTTGTTTACTTGTGTTTTTTAGGTGAAAGGTGGTATGGCAATTGCTTGTTCTGTTCTGGGCGACAAGTATAATATGTAAATCACCAATTAAGTATGTTGTCACGCCAATTTTTTGGGGAAGACAATGCCTTGTTGTTTTTAGGTGACAATTTATTATTTATTTATATTTAAAACTTTATTGACTTCTAAATTCGGTACATAAAGTAGACTGAATGCTTAGTATTATACTATTTTGCTACAATTGTGGACTAGGGCCGACCATTGTGTCTGTAAATAGAATATTTGGAACACTCGTCAGAACCTGATAAGGTCTCAAATGTACTGCAAAGAAAATAGTTGAAAAATCGTCACCTGCCAATAGTAGTTTAAAAAAATTGTAGGCAGTCAGCCACTTAATACTCCTGTAACATTATTGATCTATTCGTATGGTATAAGTCAACGTAGTTCACATACTGTTGACAGTGACCATAGTGCCGTCGGGGCCGGGTATGGGCGGCACGTTGGACGTCAGCGTGATGATGGTAGTGGCCTGCAGCTCGCCGGGCATCACCGCCCACTGCACCACGCGCCCGTCCCCGGATATAGAGAAGAATGAAGCTTCACCGTCAATCATTCGGGCGCCCCATCTCACCTGGTGACAAAGTGGTGAAATGATACGGAAAACTGGGTAATAAGGATTTTGATATCTATTTATATAAAAATCAATTGCTGTTCTTTAGTCTCGTTAAAACTCAAGAACGGCTGAACGGATTTATCTTATCTTGGTCTTGAAATGTTTGTGGAGGTCTAGGAAAGGTTTAAAAGGTGAGAAAAAATCGAATAGCTCTACACCGAAGCGAAGCGAGGGCGGGCCAATAGTTATGAATAATAAAATCATTATGTTACATATCTTGCTATAATCTCAATATACCTACAGTACGTTCATCATCATCATCATCAACAGCCTATCCTAGTCCGCTGCTGGACATAGGCCTTTCCAATTGCACGCCACTCAGATCGATCTTGGGCTACTCGAGTACAGTACAGCACGTTCGATGTATTTTAATCGGTCTAAAATTATAATTAATGAATTCCTTCAAAATATGATGCTAAACGCCAATTTCAGACTTCTCAAAAAGTTGCGGATTAACTGTAGAAGTAGCTAAACATTATTCCTGTATGGAAATCAGAAAACAGTCAGTGGGCGGGAAACGTAGCGAGAAAGGCGGTGATCATTCGGCGTTGTCGTGAGGAGCCGCTTGCTGCGAATAGTGCCATACGAGCACGAGTCTATCAACGCATTAGATAATTCGTTGGAGTCTTTCATCATCTTGGATGATATAACAGTATAAGTTTCCAGACTCATGACATGTCTAGAAATGACACTGAGACACAACCCGCCTTTCCCAAGAAAAAATGTGTAAGTTTTTTTCATATCCATTGAAAATTTTTCATGAGGTAGATTCTGAAGCGTCATATGGCATATTTCTTAGGTCATTGCATTCCATTGTGGTGATTAACATAGATATAAACAATGAACAGGCACTAAAACACAGGTTAGAGGTTAAATTCTTTTGAGGAAAACGCAAAAGTGAATCATATATTAATGAATGTAGATTTAGTTCAGAATAGTGTGTACTTACCTCCCACACAATGTTACTGTGTTTATCTCGTACTGAATCAGATTTGTATTGATATGATGATTCCAGGGTTAGTTGGGCATTGTACACGCAAACATTCCCGTCGTAGAGTCCTGTATAGAAAAGTTCAATCAGAAACATATTAATCAGATATTTTGTATGACAAAAACATTCGTAGATTTTAACGGTTTATCACTTATATTTTTTAACCATTTAATTTTTAATGTTCAAACCTAAAGAAAATTTTACTAGAAAAAATTTTCGTCCGTCTATCTCTTCTTTCAAATGTTTAATACTTGTAAAGGTATTCATTTGCCATTGTGTGTTACCTTAAATGCGAAGGGATGGCGCTGCTTGCAGCCTAAGAGATACTAGAGAATTCAACATGGACATTAGGGCCGCATGGTCAGTGCATGCGCCCGGATAGCGAAGGGTGCGGGGTTCGGGTTTATCCTTTAGTTGATAATAGCTACTACATATCTAGGATCTACAGGATATGATGAAAAACAATCGTTCTAATACCAACTTCTTTCACTCAACAAATATAAAGTTGTTTTCAGTAACCAAAGGCTTAAGTTATCGGATTTGATCCGATTATAATGGTTGACAATTACAACGGTAATTTGTAAAATTATAGGTATCCTGGACACGCAACATGTAGGTCGAAAAAAAAAAAACTGTAAATAACAGGAGGATTATAATAGAAGGTGTAATAAATTTAAACAAAGCGTTACTTACCCACACAAACGAGGTATGGAGTCTCTTTATAGACATCGAGGCAGATGATCGGCGAGTCGGTGATGACCGCGTACTCCGGGAACGCTGGGTTCTTTATGCTGTATAAGCAGAGACAACCTTCCTTCTGCTGGTTTGTGAAGTCCACTGTTCGATAATAAATGATTAGTTAAAATGCTTTGAGCGGACATTTGAAATTATTGGGACCTGGAGCTCTACTCTTTTTCTCCGAAACGAAATTTCGGCAACGAACGAATTTTAAACGAAATTTCGCCAGTGTCTCTGCTCTATTTCCTCTTCGAACACGCACATGAAGTTCGGAATCACAGGCAATTATCGTAAACGAATGGAATGAGTCATGTTTGTGAGTTCTTTTTGTCTACACTTTTTAGATAACGTTTTTTACTTCAAAACAATATTACTTTATGACAACATTTTTGATTACATTAAAACAACCTCTTTTGACAGTGTTAGCCGACTAATTTGTAGAGTTGGTGCAATCGAATGCATGTCAACCTAAATTTGTCGTATAACACTTTGAAGTATTGGCAATAAATAAACAAAAAATTGATATATTTGTAAAATTTTCATACTAAAAAATGTTCCTCACGCTAAGCAGCCTTAATTAAAAATACTCTAGTAGTAATTTTAGGTTAAACGAAAATCCCATAACGAAAATGTAACACTTTTCATTTCGTCAATTTGAGGTAAAAATTTCGAACAATTATCTGTCAAATTCAACTTTTAGTTCAAAAGTTTTGTGAATTAAAGTAGGCTTAGAGAATTTAAATGTCAAACTATTTTCGGATGAACGAATTTTCGAAATGAGATAGAAACAGAGTAAGGAACTTGCGAGATTTCGATAGAAATTTCGTTTTTCGTTGAAATAGAGTAGGTCTCCTGAACTTTTAAGAATTCTATGAAACCAATGGGAACATTAAATCCAGGAAACCGAGGAACAATAAGTCCTTTTGTTTGTTTTTGGGAATCCAAAGAAAATCTTTTTATTTCAATCTTCCCCTTTTCTGAAACCGTTTCTTTGTTTCAAATATATGTTTTCCTGTTATATAAATAAAAACCAAATGCCACATTTACGAGACGGAGCATAAATTGAGAACGACTTGGTCGATTTGAATGAATTTTTGGCTTGGCAACTCATGGACATGAAATTAAATCTTAAAAAAATCAGGATTTACTAAAGTTGGGATAGATTTTAAGATTCTGAATTTATTATACTATGGGCATCGGCTCGAACTAGAACTTCCACAGCGGCAGCAACGATCCCATGCCTTCGTGGAACTCGTCCGATGGATCGTCCCAGTAACGGTAGTCCTGAGCTACATATAAGAAGAATACGGAAAACGTGATCCATAAGCGACTGTAAACAGGTCCTGATAGTGGGGGTCCACTGCAGGTCGCACAAGGCGTGGTTGCGCATAAGCTCGAACTGAAACTTCCACATCGGCAGCAGCGACCCCGTGCTCCAGGGGAATTCGTCCGACAGATCGTCCTAGTAATTTTAATCTTGAGCTTTAGGAGAAAACAATGGCCATTCGACCTAATATGAACTAGCTCTAAGGATACGAACGCGATCCTTAAGCTACTGCAAAAAGGTCCTGATAATGCGGTTTCCACTTGAGGTCGCACATGGCGTGGTTGCGCATCGATTCTAATTGGAACTTTCACAGCGGCAGCAGCGGCCATGTGCCTTAGGGGAATTCGTCCGACAGATCGTCCCAGTAACGGTAGTCTTGAACTTTGAAAGGAAACAACAGCCGTCTGACCTAATATGAATTCTTGGGAATATGAACGCGGTCCAAAAGCAACTGTGAACAGGTCCTGATAGTGGGGGTTCCACTGCAGGTCGCTCAAGGCATGGTTGCGCATTGGCTCAAACTGGAACTTCCACAGCGGCAGCAAAAATCATGCCTTCGCGGAACTAGTCCGACGGATCGGATAGTCTTGAGGTACGGGAGGAATCAACGGCCATCCGAATCTGACCTAATAAGAAACTCGCTATAAGTATACGAACGCGATCCATAAGCGACTGCGAACAGGTCCTGATAGTGAGGGTTCCACTGCAGATCGCACACGGCGTGGTTGCGCATCGGCTCGAACTGGAACTTCCACAGCGGCAACAGCGACCCCATTCCTTCGCGGAACTCATCCGATGGATCGTCCCAATATCGATAGTCTTGAGCTAAGGGCAAGCAAGGCAACAATGAAAATACCATATAAATAAAGAATGAAATGAGAGTTTCTCTCCGAACTGTAAAGAAGAATATTGCCAACATTCAAAACAATTTAACTTTAAGTCAATATTACATGTGTGGCGGCGACATCTATATGCCCCACATATAGACCACGGATGGAGGAAATCATTACTCACCATCGTCAAGAGATGGCGTTACCTGCACTGCGATCAATAATAGTATGGAAGCCTACATCGCGCAAATGAAATTCGGAAACTAACTCTTCATATCTACGATGCCCGACCAACATCAGTCGGGCCGCGGCCCCCGAGCTACCATCACCCAGCTCGGAGGAAGATCTTCCCCTTTGGCCTTCCTACACTGGTGACCCTCGACTGAGCACAGCACAGCAGCAGCAAGAAGCAACCTTCAACCATCGCAGCGCAGCCATCAAACCTCATACCCCTTCCTTATCAGGTCAAGCAACATCAGCAGCCACACAGCAAGCCAGCATCAGCCTCAAGGTTCCATCGCAGCTCTCAACGACGCTTCCTGGACCTTCGGCAGCACCCGACGGCATCATCCCGACCTGGTCTTCGCAGCCCACGACCGGTACCTCACTTGTCGGCCGCAAGCACACCGGCGTGGCAGCCCTGCACACCAGCAGCTCGGACCCACCGTCACACTCCACCTGTCCTTGACTCACCGTAGACTGGAGCAACTCTGCAGCACTGGCGACGCGCCTTCACCCCACCCGTCTCGACTCACCGCAGACTGGGGCATCCTGCAGCACACTGGCACTTGCAAGCTCGACTGACGCACTGACTGCTGAAAACACTGACCATCGACCTACGGTCTCGGAGGGGAGTGATGTGGCGGCGACATCTATATGCCCCACATATAGACAACGGATGGAGGAAATCATTACTCACCATCGTCAAGAGATGGCGTTACCTGTACTGCGATCAATAATAGTATGGAAGCCTACATCGCGCAAATGAAATTCGGAAACTAACTCTTCATATCTACGATGCCCGACCAACATCAGTCGGGCCGCGGCCCCCGAGCTACCATCACCCAGCTCGGAGGAAGATTTTCCCCTTTGGCCTTCCTACACATGTATCGTCAACATCGTTGTGTCTCTATGGTATGGAAATTAAGTGAGTGAGAGTAGATAATTTATAATATCAGAAGATGACTTTTGCTTTTACACAGTTATGTAGACATAGATTGATTCCCAGTTGGATTAGGAGCCAAAAAAAATAGGAATGCTTCAGCTGTTTTGACACTATAGTGATTTAAATGTTTTATACTCATACCGATATCGTCGTAAATGTTTTGGTTGACAAGTCTCTCCAGGATTGCCCAAGCCTCTCTGATGCGTTGAGCCAATTGCTCGTCGTGTATTTGTTGAGCAGACTTCGCGTGCTTTGCTGCTTTTTTGCGTAACTATAATAAAGTACGAATTGGTTTTGAATTACATGAATAGATATTTGTGATTGCTCCCAATGCTCATTCACATGCTTAAGTTCAGTATCAATCAGCATTAAATTCGGCTTTGGACAAAAAAGTTTTATGTAATATTTACCCTTTTTGGTTTCTCCTCTTCCTTTTCCTTCAGTTTCTTGGCAAAATCTTCTTGGTAGTAATCGAATATAATACACTGCAGCGCTGTGGAGCCGTAGTTAGCTCGCGCTGGCGGAATAGTTTGCGTCTCCACCGACTACAGGAATACAAATTTCCTCTTTAAGTTCATTGTATATAATAAAAATTAATTCTTAACATTATTTACCGTCTTTTATGGTCTTCATTGTTAGAAGAAAGGCGATTATGGATGGAAAAGTACATAAAGAGCTATAACTTACGTATCGCATACGGAAGTTAGAAGCTGGCTGCTAAATTATTATTGCCTGCATTAACTATCAAAGATATTTATTTACGTACGTATACAATTACAATGTTGTTTATTCAATACCTCACAAATCAAAACGAGTTAAGTTAATATTGAGAAAGTTTAAACTACATCGTTGAACAATTCTTTTGGTGCAATATATTACTTAAAAGTTACGTAAATCGGCACCTTATTTAAAATATCAATCGTCCTAAAGTGACGTCTGTTCTCTTTTACTTATCTAAACCTAAAAATCTAACAAAAAGTATTATCAAAATCATTTCTTTCTTTTCAAATATCTATTTGAGACATAATGAGAGAAGACAGTCATGCTCAAGTGGACCGTACATTTTCAGCAAATTATCGGTTTTGCAATAATAAAGTCTTACCTTAATTTTATTTTTACTAAGCCAGAAGACCCTAAGCTACGAATAAGATGAATAAGGAAAAAATGTGTTACAAATATTTTTATCAGACTTGAAGAGACGATCATTGCAAACTTACTCTTCTTGGAAAATTGTATGTGAGCGCAGCTCTCTCACAGAAGTTAAACTGGTTGGCAAGTTTCTTAACTCGAGGTTTGATTTCAATGATCTCTTCGTCTGCGTCAGCTGCAGCCTCTTCTTCTTCTGCATGAAAATGATTTTGTATCATTAGGAAGTTTTGGAGAAATATTCGTTATAGCATCATAACTTCAGTGACTTTGCTAAAGAATAAAATAAGTTGTGACAAATTATTTTCGTATTATTACCTTATTTTTCATTAGCTGAATTCATTTGAAATTCCAAGATGGTAATCGAGTATCTATTTATCTTAGATAGGTCGAGTTTACGTATTATTTGCAAAAGTGTTTGGATTTGGAGTGTTACCGAAAATTATTATTGAGGCTTTTCAAATACGTATTAATTATCTCACTTTCTTCCGGTTCTGCTTCTTCTGCTGCTTCCTCGGTGCCTTCACCCTCTGCCTGTTCAGCGGGAGCCTCAGTGGGCTCTGGTTCTTCACCACTTTCAGCTGCCGGCTTCTCTTCTTCTGCCACTGCATCCTCTGAAAAATGTTACAATTACTCTGGTTAAATGATAAAGTCACCCACGGTGCCGTTGAATAGCAATATAGATATCACGATTTTAGTTTTTACATACACTAAAAGTCTTAAAACCGACTAACATCGTATCTTTTTGTAGGCGATGCACTGGCTCTGTGAGTGTGAACCTATCATTAATATTTACGGACATCATGTTGTGCCCAAATTCATTCCAAATGTGATGTTTAATGAATTGGAAAAATATTGTTCATTAATGAATTAAGCATTTTCAAATGCGTTTAAGACAAACTCAAAATAAATGTCGGTCTACCTACCTTCTGCTTTGGCTTCTTCACCAGTTGCAGCAGGCTCTGCTTCCGGTTCTTCTTCTTCTTCTTCCTCTGCCGATGATTTCTTTACTTTTGCCCGCTTTGGGCCAGCATCGTCAAAAGAAGTCATGCCTGCACATATATATAAAGGTTGGTACAATAATTAAATAGAATCTGAAACTTGAATCCAAACGTTTTTCCATAGAATCCTGGAACCTTATACAGTCAGGTCATAAGTATTCACCACACAGTAAACACTTTTCTTTTAGAATGCTGGACACAAAAAAGTTTATTGAATTCGAATTTCGAATTGTTCATGAAAATAAAAATGTATACTTTTTAGAATTTTATTCATTTTTAAATACGGAGTGGACGCTTAAAGAAGACCGTGTTGCAGTTATTGCGTTGCATCGTTGTGGTTACGCGCCAATTCAAATTTTCGACATACTGAAAAATTTGAATATGACCAAAAGATTCGTTTATCGTACCATCAAACGATACAATGAAGACTCTAGTGTAGATGACAGGTCAAGAAGTGGTCGCCCTCGGTCTGTTAGGACTCCAGCAGTGATAAAAGCTGTGAAGGCGCGAATTCAAAGAAATCTCAAACGTAAGCAGAAACTTTTGGCCCCTTCAGATGGAGTTAAGCAAAACCACGGTGAAAAGGGTGTTAAATGAAGACTTAGGGCTTCGGGCATATCGAAAAAAACAGGACATCGTTTGATTGCTCGTCTAATGGACCTGTGACTGAAGAGATGCCGCGCTTTATTGAAGCGGTACGCGGGAAAAAAATATCGGGAAATTCTTTTTTCGGATGAAAAAATTTTTACCGTAGAAGAGAGCTACAACAAACAAAATGATAAGGTGTACGCACACAGTAGTGAAGAAACGAGCAACCGTATTCCGCGTGTCCAACGAGGTCATTTTCCATCCTCGCTCATGGTATGGTTGGGAGTTTCTTATTGGGGCTCAACAGAGGTACATTTTTGTGAGAAAGGTGTAAAAACGAATGCAGTTGTGTATCAAAATACAGTCCTGACGAACCTTGTGGAACCTGTTTCTCATACCATGTTCAATAACAGGCACTGGGTATTACAACAAGATTCGGCGCCAGCTCATAGAGCGAAGCACGCACAAGACTGGTTGGCGGCGCGTGAAATCGACTTCATCCGGCACGAAGACTGGCCCTCCTCCAGTCCAGATATGAATCCGTTGGATTACAAGATATGGCAACACTTGGAGGAAAAGGCGTGCTCAAACCCTCTTCCCAATTTGGAGTCACTCAAGACATCCTTGATTAAGGCAGCCGTCGATATTGACATAGACATTAAATTATCATGGAAAGATGTACCTATATTCTTAATTGTAGAAGCTCTAGCCCTATATTAGACCTAGCGTTTTTAATAGATGCCTATTAAAAATGCTCGAGCCTCTAAATACATAACCATAAAAATGAAATTAATTCATATACATATCTTTGGACTTTACACTGACTTAAACGAAATATTTTTCTTTACATCCGCTTTACAACAAAAAAGAATAATTCTACAAATAATAAAGGTGACATAAATTTGTAGCGGTACGATGACGTCATTTTTAGAGAATTTATGTAACTGCCTATTTTGTTTCGGCTTTCCCATATTATTATGCTACATTGACTGACGAATGTAACCATGCAAAGAAAAATAATTATTTTTAAGGATTATGTTACATGTGAGATGACTTTATTATGGATTAATTTTGACTGTTGTAAACATCTAAAGAAGGTATTGATTTGTTTCGAATTTCTTGCAAAAGAAAAACATCTAATTAGAATACTAAACGTTAGAGAAATAAGCAAGTTTACCATATCCAGCAGCAACTTGCGCTTTAGCTTCATCAGAGTCTTTCCTGATTGCAGTCCCTTGAAAGATATAGAGTGGATATGCCTTCCCAAAGGTGGGCTTAGGCTTGGCGACGAACTTCCCTTGACCGTAGTGGTAGGCTACTTCGTCTGCCACCCACGTAGGGTTGATTGTGGTTAAAACACGACCTACTTCTTCTTCCAAGTCCTGGTGTGATGTAAAAAGATAAAATTTGAATACGACTGTGTTAATATTGGCTACTACTGATTCAATACGTATTGGTTTACAGAGACGTATAAAGCGTTTTTAGTTAAATTTTGAAGATGTCATGCATTTCAGAAACAAATAGTTTATCTATACAAACAAACAATCAGACCTGGGGTTCAAGTTTTCAAATCTAGAATTGGCATTGCAAGAATTATCAAATTGATATCTTCGGGCAAATTACTCGTACCTCGTATAATCGTGATAGAACTTCACATACGGCTTTAATTTTTATGGATTCATTATTATTATGTCTGATTAGAAAATTAATGTGCAATTTTCATACCGCTTCAGGAACATCTTCTTGATCATCAGGTTTGATCAGAGCGCGTGGTTTGAGCCAGTCCAAGCCTTCATCTTCAACAAGGTTGCCCCGAGACTTGCTTACTGCTTCTTTCTGAGATTTTTAAAGAAGATAGCATTAAAGATGGTGTATGTTGATAAACGCGGACTGGCAAATTCACGTACTGTTCTAGATGCATATACGAATAAGAACTTTCGAGAATTCGCGAATTTAACAAAAAATATTTATTTTTAGAAAAGACTAATGAATTGTACAAATTTTACAAGATTCGACTGCTTTTATTATGTGAAGTATTTTTTTTTACTTTCGGATATTGTTTCTAGTACTGAATGATAGGTACTTACGTATTCATGAAATTCCAAAACCTAAGCTCAGCTAGTAACCCAAATTTTAGGGAGTTTTAGAAGTTGCCAGTCACGGCTAGCAAACTATCATTAAATTAACTAAAAATATTATGGTATACAATAAATAACATATGGAGTGTGATTTTTTAAAAATAGACACACATGAAACTATTGACAACGCTCCGATTATATTGATAAGTGAAACGTTCTATCCTGATGAAACACAGATAACCTCAAGTTGGACATGCCGTGGGAGAGAAAATACGTAAAAAGTGCATTTCTTAGAACAAGCAGTTGAAAACAATACAAATAAGGTAGTGTCTGAAGCGGACAATGCTCTAAGTGATTAAATTCTGGTTGTAAAAGTTGTAATAATAGAGTGCACGTTAGGCAATTATGACAAAGTAATACCTAAGTAGTAATGCTCAAGTTTTATTTATTTTACTTACATCAATGCACATTAATGTTTTTTTCACAAGTAGTGTCTGATCATCAAGATTAAGAGCACGTTTAATCATTGCCTTTAACATTTTGAATATTAAAATGTATTCTTTATCCACAGAAACTGGCTAAATAAGCACGAAACCTTTCGGTGGTAGCAAATCAAATACTGTTCTGTTTCTATCATTTGGTGTACCTTGTAAATTTACGACTAAATATTTCAGAATATTTGCGTATTGTTAAGACTTTATTGGCCACAATCATGTAACTTGGTTGTAAATATAATTTGGAGCACTTTTAGTTAACGAAGCCAGCGTAAACAAACGATTATGAAGCAGGAGCGTAGCGTGCACGTTGGTTTTGATTTAATCTTTATACCTTTTAATTTTAAACATTTTGATTGTATTAATCACGCAAGTAAGTAACGTACTCACATCAAATTCTTCCTCGGTAGATATTAATTCGTTAGATGATAGTAATTCATCTATTTCTTCGATGTGATCCATGAGTTTTGGTTTTATTTCAGTGCCGTTAAATAGTAAGACTGCATTAGAGCAAGTATCGTTAAATGGCGTCGGTTAATGCCAGTGAATGTTTCATCGAGTAATAATCTGCATTGCATGGGTAGCGATAATGCTGCTAATGTTTCAGTAGGCGGTAGAGTTGAAGCATTAACTACTTTTTTTTCTTTCCTACGATAATCTCGTATTTTTTTTTATTTATTTATAAAGAACTAGATCAATTCAACAGTTAAGTCGGTTGCTTCATATTCAAACTTTATATTGCAATATGGATGTGTAAACTATTTTAACTACTAAATATCAAAACTTCTCTCGAAATATGGTAAACAGCGGCTTATGATTTTATGTTTGGCTATACAGTTAGTAAAAAAATATTCCTATAATTTATTACTTTAGGACAAAAGCATAGCATTACGTACATAATTTCAACACTTAATAAGAAAGTAAATAAAAAATCATATTCTTTAAAGATATTAGAAATCTATTTTCATGCTGACTGTACAAAGTTGGAAAATGACAGCGGCGGGGTGTGTCGCCAAATTCTAATTAGTCTCCGTGGCTGGTGTAAGGTAGTACAGTACCTTTGATATTTGCACGTAGTAAGTCCGCAATTAGTGATGTACTAAGACTGTATAAATATATTCGGATGTATCGATGATAATGATGATAACTGAGTTTGGAATTTTCCAAATTCAGTTTGACTCATAAAATATACATTCCTCCTTATTTTTTGATTTTTAACAATCACACAATATAATTTGGAAATATCTAAATCAATTAGAAAGACTAGACTATTTGCATTATTGTACCCAAAAACAAGTTGCTTAAAGGAGATTGCTCAAATTGGCCCAAACGCACAAAAAATATTGACATACACGGTAATTCTTGGCGTAATTTATAAATTAATTTACAATCATTAGATTTCAACGGACACCTTTGTATAATATATTAACTTTAAAAAAGACTTTTAAATTTTACCGGTTTGGAAAACATTCGGATCATTTTTAAATGGCTATGGGTGTAGTAACAGTCAGCCAAAGACTGATCGAAGTTGTTTATATAACATAAAAACAAATCTATTTTGTAAAGATCGATAAAATTAATCTTTGTTTTTTATTACACTATGGTATTAATGTACACAAATGTGCTCAGACAATTATTATAGATGGTAGGCGACATCATAAAGTCTATTGCCATACATTTTTCGCCAAACACCTCCATAAACACATTATAATCTGTATATACTCGTACGTTAGACTTTAAGGTATCTATCTATGGGCCTACGTTGCCTGACTATAAATTAATAAATAAATAAAATTATAAGGTGTGATACACTAAATATCTAAAATATGTTTATATTAAAAACATAACAAAAATAATGAAGCTACTGAATATATGGCTATATAACCTAAATCTCTTAGCTATCTTTGGTTAACGAGAGTTTAAAAATTCTCTCTAATCTGTGGCTCATTCACAATCATCACACAGTTTCTGTCACAGAGTACCTTATTATAACCGGAAATGCATAGATGACACCTGATTTTATAAGTTACTTTTATGCATTAACTTTAAAAACAGGCAAATCTACATGCTCTATATACCTGAATCTAATCCATAATTTCGGTACTTGGCTTGATTTCTCTAGTTTACTATATAACTTATTTGCTTTTTATTATTTTAATATGTTCAGTGTATATGGTTTATAAAAGTTCTCAGGGGTGTCCGTCAAATAATATTCGTTTCTACAGTAATTTATATATAATTTCGAATCTAGGAAACAATTTTTCATGATTATTGGTCTTTAGGCCAAACATGTATGGAAGCTGAGCAATCTCCTTTGTTGGATTGCCGTGACTATCGATGCTAAATATCGATCATTGTTTTAACTTTTCTAAATACATATTATCGATTTCTTATTCGACTTCTCGCTTCATGTAGCACTTCTCTGTTCGAAATCGAATCTTGCCTTTACATTTGCAGCCGTTTCAAAAGCAGCAGTACTTAAGTCACTTGAAAAGTTCACTACCGGTATTTGAAAAGTATTATTCAAGCGAAGTTATTGTGAGCAGTTCTTTTTTTGTGTGGATTTTATACGCACCATGATTACGGATATTAAGGCGGGAATGGTAAGTTTGTGCATTTATAATTATATTTGGTTCTATAGTGAGAATTTCAATGAGGAATATTGAAGTTTTTTTTAATAGGTATGTACCTATAGTTAATTAATTATGTGGTGAGATTTTTTATAACTTTAATTTATGTGATTCGATTTTGTTTCAACTAAATTATCTAGACTTAAGTAGGCGTCATTGGTGTGTTTATCTGCAACTAGTTATTTACCTAATAGTTTTTATTTGATTTTTTATGGTACCTATCTCTTAATTAGTAACAACTGAATGTTGCTAATGAATAAGTTGATTTAGAAAAAACGATTTCTATAGATATTTTGTGAAATATTATGAGCTAAGCGATTGTGATCCTTACTAATATTATAAAGGCGAAAGTTTGTTTGGATGGATGTATGGATGGATGTTTGTTCCTCTTTCACGCAAAAACTACTAAACGGATTTTAATGAAACTTTACAGTAATGTAGCTTATAGATCAGAATAACACATAGGCTATAATTTATAAAGATATTGTGTGAATTGTCCAAAATATAACGATAAATGTCATTTAAGTCTGAAAAAATTCTGCAATCTGCGAGCTATTCAGGCGTGTGCTGCAAAAACAGTTAGTGCTACAAATTCGGCGACACCATATATATCTATCTTTTATGAGTAAGCCATTATTGTCAAAATAGTGAACCATAAATACAATAAAAATTGATAATTTATTTCTAATGCACATTTGGTAGTAATAAATGGATCCTTATCAAAATGAATACTTTTATCGCTTTTGGTATTTAAAGGAGATAAATTTTGTCCTTCACAATACATCATTTGGACAAATATTTTAATAGTTACGACGATGACAAACCGAACGCGCGATACGAGGCGGCGCGGCGGGCGAATGGAGCGGGGTCGGTCGCGGTGAGGTGGGAGGAGAAGTCGCTCATCGCTGAGTGCGCGACCCGAACGCGGGCAGACGCGTGAGGGCAGACGTCGTTGACGGTTGTGTTAATCTATATATATAAAACTCAAAGGTGACTGACTGACATAGTGATCTATCAACGCACAGCCCAAACCACTGGACGGATCGGGCTGAAATTTGGCATGCAGGTAGATGTTATGACGTAGGCATCCGCTAAGAAAGAATTTTGATCAATTCTACCCCCAAGGGCATAAAATAGGGAATGAAAGTTTGTATGAAACTTTGTCAATTATAAACCGATCGGGCTGAGACTTTGCATGCAGGTATAAGAAGAATCATAGATGAATGTCATTGTGTATAATACAAGCCGGAGAACAAAAACTGTAGTCTACACTTCAGCTCTACACCGAAGCGAAGCGAGGGCGGGCCACTAGTATTCGATATAAATAGTAAATTGAAATAACTGTTACTGGTGATTGTCTGTAATTTTGAAACGTTAAGTGATTAGGGTCTGCTTGACTATAATCAACATTTTATAATAAATGGAGAAGAAAATTGATTTGAAAAGAAAATAACTGTATAAAGTGTTACTCATATAGTTATACCTACTGTGGACGAGAGCTAATTAATAATGACATATTTAATCAATCGATAAAAAATTTCATAATTGTTTGCTGAAGAATTATGATCAGTGCTGGTGACTGATGTTTTTTTTACTGATTTCTGGATACCTTTTTGCGCATGAGGGGCAATGGC